ATCTAGTGCTTGTCATTGTAGTCAAGGCAAGCAACAAGAACATCTGTGCTGGTCATTGTAGTCAAGGCAAGCAACAAGAACATCTGTGCTAGTCATTGTAGTCAAGGCAAGCAACAAGAACATCTGTGCTGGTCATTGTAGTCAAGGCAAGCAACAAGAACATCTGTGCTAGTCATTGTAGTCAAGGCAAGCAACAAGAACATCTAGTGCTTGTCATTGTAGTCAAGGCAAGCAACAAGAACATCTGTGCTGGTCATTGTAGTCAAGGCAAGCAACAAGAACATCTGTGCTAGTCATTGTAGTCAAGGCAAGCAACAAGAACATCTGTGCTGGTCATTGTAGTCAAGGCAAGCAACAAGAACATCTGTGCTGCTCATTGTAGTCAAGGCAAGCAACAAGAACATCTGTGCTGGTCATTGTAGTCAAGGCAAGCAACAAGAACATCTGTGCTAGTCATTGTAGTCAAGGCAAGCAACAAGAACATCTAGTGCTTGTCATTGTAGTCAAGGCAAGCAACAAGAACATCTGTGCTGGTCATTGTAGTCAAGGCAAGCAACAAGAACATCTGTGCTAGTCATTGTAGTCAAGGCAAGCAACAAGAACATCTGTGCTGGTCATTGTAGTCAAGGCAAGCAACAAGAACATCTGTGCTGCTCATTGTAGTCAAGGCAAGCAACAAGAACATCTGTGCTGGTCAAGGCAAACAACAAGAACATCTGTGCTGGTCGAAGATAGTAACAAGAACATGTGCTGGTCAAGGCAAGCAGCAACAACATCTATGATAGTCAAGGCAAGCAACAAGAACATCTGTGCTTGTCAAAGCACCACCAACAAGAATATCTGTGCTACATCACCACCAAGCAGTCTGCTACTCTGGGCATCACCAAATACCCGGCCCTTTGTAGAGCCCCATATGTTAAAAAAAAAAAGAGGTAGAGATCATGTCTGGTCTTGACAAGTATTGGGCCCGACAAGAATTGAGACTGACTCAAGACTTGGAACTCCAATCTCATATCCAAACACATCGCCCCAAGACTCAAGACTCTTGACAGGAACTCGCGACTGACATGACTGAAGAAACAACTCTGAATATAGGTAGGTTGCATCATCTCCCACCCTAGGAGCAAGTATATGCATAAAGCGTAATGCACACTTTAGTTGCATTTCAGTTGTTGCTCTTGAAATTGGATGAATGTTGCCTTTAAATGTACCTTTGCATTGTAAACATTTTGACAGCGAGGTCGGTATTGCTCTAAGGACATGAAGGCGAATCTAATATGGGGGTTGGTCATTAAACCTTGCCAGTAAATGGGCAAAGGTAATAACTTTTTGTTTTAGAATTAAGCTTCTTGATTTAGCATTTCAAATGCATTTCTAACATTAATGTACATTAAGCACAGTTAGAAAATATATTAATAAAATTATGTTAATTATGCTAATTAGGCATAATATCTTGCTGAGAGGCGTTGCTTGGCCCGTAGGTGCCTGCTTAATACAGAGTTGCTGGTTGTTGAATTTGAATTCTCTGCAACCCAGCAGTCTTTCATTCATCTGCTGAGAGACTGCTCCACCTTATCAGGTTGTCCACCTATCTCTTGAGGTTGTCCACATCCTCTCCTACATGATAGTGTACACGTAGTATGCACCAGGTGCATGTCAGGTAGTTCTAAGTGCTGTCCAGTCACGCGCGAGGTGTTCCGTGTAAAGATTGAACAAGGTTGGTGAGACATCTCTGCCCGACTCTAACAGGGTTGTTGAAGGGGGCTGTCTTATGTCCCTTTCAGGTGATTGTGCAAAAGTGCTTTGTTGTAAAGATCTTCGATCAACCTTTTTACCATGTCTTCTGGAGTGTTCAGCCCTTGACAAACACTGAACAGTTTGCCACACAACAAATCATCCAGTATTGAAGGCATTCTTGCAGACTACAAATAGCATGTATGCCATGGGCATTTGACTGAAAGGTACATGTAGGTCTGGTCATGGAGGAAGTCTATTCCTTCCTCCATGGTCTGGTATATATCACTTTGACATGAAATATTACATCCACTTTCGACCTTCCTCGTATGAAACTGCATTGTTCAAAAACCTTGACTTCAAGCCTTCAACAATGGTGTCATGTCTTCGTTTGATCACATTCAGCACAATCTTACTGGGCATGAATTATCAATGTCAAGAGTACGGTAGTTTTCAGACTCGCATCCACAAGTCTTCACAAGAACCTTTGTTTCAATGTAAGCCACAACCTATTCATTCAAGAACTGTAATTACAAAGACATTATTGTCCACCCACTGTTAGTAGTGAAAGTACTTGTGAAGACAAGTGAAAAATACAAGTGAAGAAGTTCTTGTGAAGCACTCGACTATGCTGGAACTGGGCCGAAGATCACGAACCGTCCCCACGTGCAAGTGCCATACCGCACGCTATTCAGACCCTGGGACCTATGATGTATCTGACCACATTTGTGTGCAACGGGCGAACTATTCACCCAGCCATTTTACCGACTCGAGTGCAAGTCTTGGCCTCGGCTTGTAGTTGAGTTTTTGCCGACTGGTAAATGTTGCTGTTGTCATATGTTTATATTATTGCAATTAACTTTTTTTTCAGTTTGCGGCCATTAGTGCTGTAGGCCTACTCATTGCGACATGGTTTTCAGAGTAGCTTGGTTTGCAAGCACTTGAAAAAAATAAAATCAACATTTTTCCCCCCTCACATGGGTACTGTTTCTTTTCTCCATTACCATCCATGATCATTTTGTGAATACGAAATGATGTCAGAGTTTTTGAAAAAGTACATGTAACCTTACTTTCAGAAATTTGGCATGATTTATCTGGACATGTACATATATGTCAGAGTATAAATATTTTGCTGGGGTTGGTGCAATTCAATATTTGAGAATTTGCAACTTCAAAATTATGAGAGCACATGTTTGTTTATTTAATAAGAAAATAAGATAACAATGGCAATTAAAGGAAAAGAAAGGGCATATACTGCACAATTTGTGCCTATATATGCAAATACCTACCTCTGCTCACCATCTTGATTACTTGCTTGAGTAAAGGCTGATCCTCTTTCTCCTTTTATTTACTCATGCTCAGTGTGAACGAAAAAGTCTTTCTGACACGTTCCATTAATTCATTTTATCAACAGTGTATGATAAAATGCTTTATACTCAGCGAGTTCATGTTTGTTTACATGTACATGAATTCATTTGCTCTTTGCCTTAGTTTCATATACATACAAGAACACAGGCCAGCAATTTGGCGTGTTGCCAAGTCTTTGACCTAATTATCTGGATCACCTCACTCAGTTCTCCAGCCTTGCACAGCTGCACTCCATTACCATATTTGGTATGCCAGTGAGAAATTTCAATATGCAAATGATTAGAACAACTTTGAACCAATGAAAAAGTTTGTTTTGTCTTTTGTTGCTTAGTGAGGTGAATTGGCCCAAGTTGGGCTGTAAGTGGGCTGTGCTCACTTTTGTCACAGTCATTGAGACAGCAGGATCAGATTTCATTTTGTGCATTAAATTTTCTAAATATTGTTAAACTTGGGGGGGGGGGGGGTTGGGGGGGGGCCTATGTGGAGATCATTGCGAATTGATCAGAAAATAGCTTAAACTTCAAACCAAGTACATGTACGAACACTTTGCTTCCAAATGTGAGACGTTCAAATCAACCATGAAACAAAACATTCAACCTGACGAAGAAATGAAGTAGTCTTCCAACAGACTTGAACATTTACAGAAGCATGTTCAATATCGTTTCAATAAAAACCAAGCAAAATTGAAATCAAATAAGAATTGTCAAAGACAACCCTGAAGACTTCTAGGCTCTGCAAAAATCACTGTGACGCTAGAAAAACTTTCAAGTAGCCAGTGTTTGATTCAACTAAGCCATCCAAAGAGTGTCACTGGTACACCATTGTGGCACAACTAGTGTCTTTTATGTCATTGTAACTCTAGTCATTTCATCAGAAACCTCTCTGGTACCGTCTAGCCAGCCAGCTGGTATCTCTTTGTCAGCATTACCAGGGATCCGTAAAGCGCTCCAAAAGTATGTGGTTGAACCCTGCCTGGGCTCAATAGAACGCATCGGCACTCATCGGCACGCAACAGCACGCCCTGGCATCCCAAGTAATGCAAGAGAAGGGCCCTGCATCGGAACCGGGTACCAAAGTACCCGACTATTAATGTCAGGAACCGGATCTCGATTATGGGTACCCGTAACCAACTTTACAAATTACTAAGTTACTCCTCAGACAATGAAAAAGAAAGGTTTTGCATGTCATTTGTGGGGAATTGCATGTATCAAAATAAAAACCAGCTTACATGGAAAAGCAAAACATTTTGTACATTTTTGATGCTCGCGAAAGCTGCAGCATACAAAATGCCGTAAAGCTATAAAGTTCACTGTACAGTGAACACACTTAAATCTTGCTGTATCAACACACTGATGTACATGTACATGTACATGTACATAACATGTGGACCTTTACGAAAAATCTGAACAGCAACTTTCAAGATTTGAATTTTGGGGTTGGGTTTCTTTAACGGATGCTCAGGTACCCAGTTCCCATACGACAGGTAAATGCACACTCCTATGCAGGAGCCTGTGCCTTTGAGTGCAATGCGGGCAGACCCAAGAGCATGGGTATACACCCACAAGCAAGCGTGAGCACGGGTCTGCATGCACATTCCTGTTTTACTATACTCCTGAGGACAATGCTTTGTGTTTTCTTTTGTCCATGTAATATAACCTCTCCCAAAGGCTGTAAAAGCACATAACCGTACGATGGAGGATCGTTTTGAACAAAAGACCTAACGCCCGAGGACTGAAAGGATCTGTTGTTCTGCCTTTGTGTGTCTGTCCTCAGGGGTTACGTAGTACATGTGCTCAGCCACACACAAATTGGAATTAATCCATGGTCCCTAATTTTTATAAGTTTAGGGCGACTAGCTTAGGCTTTCATATTAACTTAAGAAGCAATACTTCTCTTACTAGTCTTCTTATCCACCAAGAAGTGTGCAGGGTGCTCCTGGATGGGAATATTGAAGAATTCCAAACAATCCTGATGGATCTCCTCAAACTGCATGTCCTAATGTCAGCAATTAAAGAGAAACAAAAGTATGTCTCATCATAAGCTGGATAAGCAGGATTCAGGGTTGAATACAAGTCCATCACGAGTCCCTGTCACAAGTGAATCACAAGTCATTTCAAAACATACAGATTCATGAGGCAACATCCACTGTGCACATGGAGAACATATAATGCCCCTCCATGATACCACACTGCATGTTCCAGATGAGCGTGTCATATTAAGTGCATGCATGTCAGACTGTGGTCGGCCGTCAGTCACAGCTTCGATTGGCCCCAACGTCATGGGGTAGGGCTGAATGGGTTTGTCTATTACCGTAATTTTCGGAATATAAGCCGCGGCTTATACGTTGAATTTGCCCATGAAAATGTTTACTGCGGCTTATACACAGGGCGGCTTATACGTCGAGCCGTGAAGAATAAAAATAAGATTCACATGTGTATTTAATGTACTGGTACAAGAAGAGATGTGTTGCTGAAATGAATTATAAATTAAGAAAGTCATTAACAAACCGAAACCACGTCTCACGTAAAGGTACCAAGCGGTAAAAAGTACGGTGATGAAAGCTGTCTTCGACACTTGCGACCAGCCGTACGTGATACTGGTACAGTGCAGCAGCGATATGCAGCATGCTTTCCCCCAGCGGACCACACCATTTGTGGTAATAAAGGGGTGTTCTTTCTTGGGAACAATAATTACCAATATTTCCGCTGTTTAAAAAAAAAAAAAAAAGACGACTAAAATTTTTATGGCGTTCGAAAAATTTATTTATTACATAATCAGTTGTTCAACGTCACAATATATTTTGTTTTCTTGAAATGTATTCAAGAAATGATGTAAAACTCAAAAGAGGGACTAAATCACCCCTTACAAAATTAATGGATTCGTCTATCAAAATGTCCGCTTCGTTTTGACAATTTCCGAAGAAAGTTACGATCGAAACTTGAATTTTTATCGCAACTACTCATTAGTAATCGCAACAATTTGATAAGTTTTGAGGTAAAAACGGACCTGTTTATTCTTAGGACAAAACAAATCAGCATCTGTTGCCACAAAGCAAGATTTGTAGCGCTCCAGTCAGACAACACACGGTGGGTTTCATACTCTCTCACGTGCTGTGGGAAAATGTTGTCATTCACCGGTGTGCGTGGCGCAGGCTGCCGGGCTATGACGGGGCAGCCGACAGCAGTTCCCGGTGTTTATTTCTCATCAATTCCCATATTTGTTTGTAAAAGTATCGATTGTAAATGATTTGATATAACTTTTGTGGCCCTTTTAATAGCTTCTGTAGTGTAAATGGAACTGGTTCAGAGCATTTTGACTAGAATTTGGAGGCCTTACAAAATTGAAACCGCAGCGGTCGGTGCAGCTTATACGCCGGTGCGGCTTATACGCCGACTTCAAATCTTAATTTGCAGATTTTTGCGTGCTGCGGCTTATACGCCGCGCGGCTTATATTCCGAAAATTACGGTAGTAACTGAATCAAAGGAATGCCTTTGCACTAGTGACAGTTTTTGAGGACTTACGATGGACTCGACTACAATATTAATACTACTTGGAGTCTGTGCACAACTACATGTATAACCTTAAAACATTCAAATTAGAGCCCATCTCAATTCATATCAAGGACAAGTTGCAGACATTGTATCGTGTATAAGTTGCAGGACTCTGACCAACTTCCCTGCAATCTTTCCACGATAAGGTTATCAGTGTTGGTGAGTCAAGCAGTTGCTAATAAAAATTTCTCCGGAACATGTCCAGGACAAACGCAGACTTCTTCCAGGCAAAGTGAATGATTCTACCCGCAACTTGTCTGGAACTCTTCCCGGATATGAATTGCGACGGGCCCTCAGACACTTTTGTACCATATCTGCCATGTTTCCACACTCAGGCGAAGAGACTAAAGGTTTAAGTACATTACGAGTCATGTTTGCAAGCATACCTCGCTGATGGGCAGCTGAGTTGGGATGTCTGTCTCGTTTGGTCCATGAACAATCAGTTTCTGGTGGAATTAAGTAATACAAACTATGAAAACATAAAGAAAATCAATTTAAAATAACAAAAAGTACAGAGAACGAATATTGAAAGACATATGATCATTGCTTTGGAGAATAAGCCATATCGGTACCTTAATGAAGTAGTCCAGGTCAAAGGTCATTCGGGACAAAATCGCTGAAGCAATGCTACGTGATGTTACACAAATGCCCATTCTGCTCGTAATTAACGCGCGAACGTCGTGAAATTAAGCATGTCCTTGCGTGTCAATGCACCTTCCATGAGCATTTGACTATCCCACATTACCCATGACCCATATCACTTATGCACATGCGCCTTTGTAATACCAAACTGGCTTATTAGTAATGAGTGCAAGACTGTCATTTCCGAATTGACCTATCGCCGTTTGTGAGTTAGCCATGCCCCTTAGACAACCCTATGGGAATTTTGTATGCTAAGTTTTGTTTGTCTCAGATGTTGTGCGTTCCCCGTTCATTTGTATATCATGTAATTGGACAATACTTCACAAGCTGCGTTGACGCGATTCTAACATGATTCTACCGCGATATGTCCATTGCAAATCAGGCACTTCAAAATGTATGCCTTGCATATTGCAGTTCTTGATACTGACCTTGGCACAGGGCACATTAGCACTGATTAACACAGTAGGCTGCCAAGAGAGGAAGAAACATAAAACATTTCATCAGTCATCATCAAAACTTAAGTTTTGATTCAATTAACTTAATCCTTATCATGGAGTGCTGTAAATGCATCACTGTACTAAACTTCTGTTAAATGTAACCATTGGCTCAAGTACTTTTATGAGTTAAACTCATAACAACTAGGTTGGCCTCAGGTTGATCTATGATTTGCTTGTGCTACAATATAACTAGCTTTCATCAAGGCGTTGGTTGGTAATGTCTGTGATGGTATCTGGCCGCCAAAAACATAAACACTATCCAAGTGCTATGCACTTTACGAAGCGCGAACGACGACATCGTGTAGCTTCAATATGCATATCAGTTGGCGAAGAAGGAATGTTCGCACTTGCACATTTTTAGCGGCCAGATACTATCACAGACACTATCGACGAATGCCTCGACCAAGGCTAGTTCCGTCGCAGCGCAGTCAAGGTCAACCTGAGGCCAACCGTGGGGATGTGACATTTACAGGGTTAAAATAGGAAAAGGCCACAAACTTTTCAAAGATATTCTACTATCAGTGTTGGGCAGCCGTGTTAATCGGGCAGAAACACAACTCCAAAAAGTTTACACAGAACCCAAATGTTAATGATGAGACCTTGTATTTATACAACTGTCCCTCTGGTTTCCACAAAACTGAAAATCAATGAAATCACCAAACCTGACTCATATGCAAAGTAAAATCATAGTGAGGACCATAGTATTCTCCTTTCTTGAATTTCTTTACACTCTTTGACATTCTTATTACATTATTTGCATGTATATGCCAAGATACAATTTATTGTGTTTGATGCTTTATGCACCGCACACACACTGGGACATGCTACATCCTTTGCAAAGTGTCGGCTAAATGTCAAATGGTCAAGCAATTCAAGAAAGTTTCACTGAATGTTTCCCAAATTCACATGTGGATTGCAATCCTAACTAACAAACTGAGATTTGAATTCCAGCATTTTCAAAAGTACTTAAGTCTTGGCCTGCCTGGACTTACATCACATTGTTCCTTCTTGAGTGTTTGCTTGAGATCCTTGAAGGAGATTCCTGAGACGAACGGAATGATGTGCCAAAGAACGCTCAGGGTGTTAGCGATAGCTTCATTGGCGCCCTCGTGTGGCGCACGACAATGATACACCACAAACCCAAGCTGTCAAGAACAGTAGAAAAAGTTGATACATGAAGATCATCTAGAAGAATGAGCAAGTTGTGCTTGTGCATATCATGATTTGATGATGTTCACATGGGAAATGAGTTATACCATCAAATTATTACTAAATATAGAAGACTTTCAGATGCAACCTGTTTTACAGTGTTTATCATGCTCTAACATATACAAACTGTTTCAATCTTCTGTTTGACTGCGCTTTAGTTTGGTTCAGAAAGGCTTGGAAATTTTTGTCCAAACTGAAGTTTGGCAGCAAATTTAAAATGAAACATCAAAGTCATTTGCTATGGTTGTACACCTGTCAGGCATCAGCAAACATTATACTACAGGTACCGGTATTTATAGGTACCCTGTGAATGTCATGTATCAACATGGCTAAATAAGTTGGCCAATTGAGACAGCTAGGCCCTATGGCAATTACAATTTATCAGTAAAATCTTCCATTTTCAATTTGTATGCCGTAACTTACGCAACCTACATTGTATAACAGCTGCTTTAGTGAAACCACATCATGTTGCATTAGTGCACCACTTCTTAGCACGTTTTAAGTATCATAACTGAAATGTTGCACAATTAAACATTTTTTTGTAACTTATGCAACTTCAATATAAATGGAGTTACACCACTGGAGCTAAGACTCACCAGGTAATTGAAGAGACAATGAGCAGTCTGTGCCGGCAGCTCACCGTAGTGCGATACCATCTTTTTCATCAATAAAATCAAGTCCTCCTAAGAGATATCAACACAAAAATAACACAATGAAATATAACAACTTTGGATTCAGTGATTTCAAGGCCTGTATTGCATCACACTGATTCACTTCAATTCAATTCCATTCCAGATGATTTTTTTTTAAAAACTACCAACAAATAAAGCCACCCCCAGGTTGACCTGCCATTTGCTTGCACCGCGATGAAACCATCAGCATCGAGCACAAAAGAAATACTCAGGTCACAAAACTGAGAAATTGTGTGATTATTGTGGAACAAGCGGCATCTCAATATAATTGTACAAACTAATCATGCTCATGTCACCCACAATGCGACAATGATTCCCCGGCTTAGACATGATCATGTGACTTCTTCAAAATGGTGGTGCATGTGTTGATAACAGTGACAATGATCTTCAATGGCCAGGTCTGTTCATTCAGCCACTATGATTGTCATAAAACTATGCATTTTTCCCATGCTGCTTGGCTACGCAATGAAATAAGATGATGTGGATGTGCGCCCGACATTGTACAGATCGACTGCAATGGGAGACTTTTGAGACGTTGGTGGCAGCAAACATACCGGTCCTTTTTCAATTGTTTACGTCACATTTAAGCCAAAGCGCGCATGCTCAATGTGACGCAAACAATGGCAAAACCAACTGATGCCAATCGACTTAATATCATCACAGTTACACTCTGGTCGCAAAAAGATCCACAAAAGATATGTTCCCCATGGTCATAGCTCAGGCGCAGCTTTATCCTCAAAGGTCAGTCCCCAACTGTTCGGTATCACTGCAAGGTCGATCTGAGGATGGCTTAATAAGTCGAGAACTAGTTTATACAATTTTTTTAAATACAAATATACTTTGTCTCAGGATGCACTGAATGTAATTCTCTTCACTGTCTGTTCATCCAACCTGTTTGTTTTTGGCTGTAATCTTCTCCAGTATGTAACGACATATCAGGGCCGGTTCCTCCACAAGACACGCCCACAATACCTTCTCTGCAACCTCGCACACTGCCAAGAAATTGAAAGGAAATCCAATCAAAATTTACAAAATAACATAAGCATCCACAAAGAAAACCTCTGGTTTGTGCACATTTAGAATAAGATTTGTCGTTCACCCACACTGTACGTGTCCCCCTCCCAATGGGCTATTGAAAGTAGTAAAATAGCATCATTTATAACACCTCACCCACAGATTCTTTATCTTGATTGGCCGGAGCGACTCACATGGCATTTGCTATTTTTGCTATCTTGCTGTGCACAGTCAAAAGTACTATACTAATGCATATGTATACAGGTGTGCGCGTTGCACGTTGGGCATATTGTTTCCAAGCGCTAGTGCTGCAGAACTGGGTTCAAACTTTTCTTGAAGGGGTAGTTTGGAAAAGTACACTTTTATTGTATTTAGATTAAATTAATCAGTTATTGCTTAAAATCAAGCAGAATCACTTAAAAACAAAGATAATCTCTGGTTTGTGCACATCGTTTAAAATCAAACATATTACATCGTAATCGCTTAAAATCAAGCAAATTGTTGACTGCTTTATCTCGTGGTGTAGTAAAACTAGCCTCCCTCGGTTATCCATGGAGCATTCTATTTTCCCTCTGCTTCGCCTCGAGAAAATAGAATGCTTCATGGATCACCGAGGGAGGCTAGTTGACTACACCACTCGAAGCATTCAATATTTGTAATTACTATTGTTCATCCACGGTATCCATAGACAGGCATATTAAGAGCAGTGAATTTAAAAGAATCAATGCTTTCAAAATGTTTGTAAAGACAAGTTGAAATTAACAGTAAAATATTGCTACACTGAAGGGACGCATTTTTGTCGACTAGAGCCAGTGTTGAAGTTCAGTCCATCATAAGTCCTCCTGACTCAATGCACTTCCAGTGCTATTTAAATGTACTCTGCCAAAAACATTCTTTTGTTATTGTTCATCACCTGTTACTTGGGACTGAACTTGTGAAAGTACTTGCAAGTTTCTTGTGATGCATTTGTAACGGAGTGGACCCGGCAGAAATCTGTCCAATCAAAAGCCCTGCCTAATTGTAAACTTTTAATGACTTTTCGCTAAAATAAGAACAAGGAATAATTCTTAGTTGATTCTTTTTCACCAGCACTTACGGGAAAATTCTCTCAGTGCTTTCGGTAACCATCCGGTTGCCTTTTTCAATGTGACGTTATTGTCCAGTCTCTTTCTGATTACGAGGCCATAAGTTCACCTCGTAAACCAACCAGCGCAAGCTGGTAAGCCTGGTCACGGTTCATTGACAGCTTATGGTGGTGGATGCACCTCCTGTATCTTTCGGATATAGGCAATCTACATCCGCCGCCATAAACCGTCAATGAACCGTGACCAGGGTTACCAGCTTGCGCCGGTGTACGAGGCTACCTTACAGCCTCGTTATCAAAAAGAGACAATAACGTCACATTGAAAAAGGACACCAGATGGTTACCGAAAGCTCTGAGAGAACTTTCCCGTAAATGCTGGTGACAAAGTATCAACAAAGAATTATGACTAATTCCCAGCAAAGGAATCTTCATGCTATATTAAGAACAAGGAAATTTATGCTGACCATTTAAATTTGTGATAAGTGAGGTGGAAAGACAAAAATAGACCTAATTGAGGAGACCAACAAACCTGCTACTCCTTCCTTGTTAACCTCTGAATCCTCCAACAGTGCCACCAAATGCACAATGGTGGTACAGACGCATGACGGGAAGAACACGCCAAAAGTGGGTGGGCTGTGGTGGGCACGCTCAGTGATCAGACCCTCGTCATCACCTTATTAGTATTCAGAAAGGGTCAAAGATCATATATAAAAGGTAACAGATTTGTTAGTCAGAAGTCAACCCAAAGACAAACCAGTTTCTTGTGCAAGCTCATTTCATTGGTCCTAACGGTTTTTATTTTGGGTTAAGTTATTTGTAACAAGATATGTCCCGTTGAAAGTTACTCATACTAGGTTGACGTCAAAACAGACTCGAGACTAAACAGGACGTCTTCCACTCAGATTCTTACATTTTATGACCATTCCACATGTCACATGACAAACAGTGACAGCTTAACACTGACGACGTATTCAAACACAGGACTTGCGAATTGTCACCAAGAATTCAAGGACCGTCACAAAAACCTTTACTTTAATAAGGACAGAGAATTGGAACTGAGATAGGTCAAGGACAAACTGCAAAAATAATAAATAATGAAGACTGTGGCATTATTACTGTGAATTGTGAATACAAAAGTGAGGGGATTTTTTTTTTCAAACCAATCATTCCTCCATGATTTCTAAATAAAAATGACAAAGAAAGCATGGTTAAGCACTGATGCAATCACAATGACGGAAAAACAAAAACTGGAAATGAATTAAAAGCACAACATTTATATGTAAAACAACAAAATGGTGTTAGTTGCCAACGTTACCTCTGCACCAAGGAAATTGCTTGGGGAAAAATGTCTGGGTTAAACATGCACCACAATTACCAGCAACTAGAATTATACAGACATGAGAACAATTGCTTTTTTGATTGATCAATACCAAATTCAAATTGGACTGTATCGTCTTCAGCTAGCAATAAAAAGTTAGATAAGTGTTTAGTCGAGTACTGCCGAGTACTGCCGAGTACTGCCGAGTACTGCCGAGTACTGCCGAGTACTGCCGAGTACTGCCGAGTACTGCCGAGTACTTTAGATTGCCAAGTACCATTCAAGTCCAAGTAATTTGCAAATTGAGTACAAGTACAGGTCTCAGAGTACAAGTACTTGTACTTCGGAGTACGAGTCCGAGTCCGAGTACTTTTACTCCCGAGTACAAGTCCGAGTACTTGTACTTCCGAGTACGAGTCTGAGTACTTGTATTCCCAAGTACATGTACGAGTTCGAGTACTTGTACTTCCGAGTACGAGTACTAGTCCGAGTACATTGTGCTTGAAGCCAAAAATTATATGTTAGTGACATGTGATAAAAACTACAGATTGTCTTTTTTAGCATTTTTCAACAATTTGAAATTTATTTTTTCAATCTGCAATAGCAGTTCCTAACCAAAGTTTTTACCAAGGAAATGCTACACAGCTGAAAAACAGACATGAAAGTTTAGGTAATTTAATACAATTAATCTACTATGTACATTGCATTTAAAGTCCCAAGCCTTCATGTCTTTCAAGCCCTTTGATTCCTCAGACTAAAAAAACAAGTCAAGTTCCACAGAATTTGACATTGATACTTTCTTCACAGGGTGTTTCTTCCTCATGTTTGAGGTTGTCCCAGACTTTTCGGAACTGCAAATAGTGCATGTGGAGTTCAAGTACTTTGCTGCCCAAGTACGAGTACCATTAGTTCAAGTACGAGTACTCTAAAAACAGTACTCGAGTAGTACTCGAGTATGAGGTACGAGTACCAAGTACGAGTACTACAACACTGGATATTGCACAAAGTGTTGCCATAGCAACATTGCTCCTCTGCAGAATTCTTCTAAATTGAGTTAATAAGACTCAAAAGATAACGCTGAACATGGTTTCATGAGGCCCAACTGAGAGTGCCCAAATGAGAATGGAAGAGTGGTGAAAAATGAGAATAATGGTACAATAGAAACAATTGTACATACAAGAAACTTGTAAAAGAAACTCGTTCTGTGGTCATGCTTCTTGTTTTAGCAGAACCGTATCACGCTATAAAGAGAATCATAAATGTCCCAGATGTTGAGAAAATAAAGATTAGCCATCAAACCTGGTTTGGGATGCCCCCAAATTTATTCATGTGACCGAGACTGAACACAAGTGAAAGATAAGACAGGATTGCTAAATCAATCCAGATCCAAATATCTCAATAGAGTACAAGTTTTCAAAAGCTTTGTATTGAGCGACTTAAACTTATAAGGCTTTTAAGTTTCTATATTTTAGTTCATTTCTTTTTCTAATTTCTTCCTGTCAAATTAAATGCTCTTTGACAAATTTGCTGTGAATCTGGTCACATCTTCAAAGCAAGAAAAAGTGTGCGAAAGAACTGCACCAACTGATGCTAGAAATCTTTAATGATATGGGGGTAGTGAGTATACTTAGCATGCAATGTTAGCATGATGAGTGTAATGAACTTGTGCAAAGCTGTTAGTGGCTGGTACAGAATCCTACTTACTCCAAGCAAACCATTAAATGTGAACTCCAGCAAATATGAAGGTCCCCCTTGTTTTGTCAGACGATATGACAATATTTGAACAGGCTATGGTTTACGAATGCTATGCTTTCAGCATGTGCAGCCTCAGAGTCATGTAACACATTTTAATTATTCTTGTCCTGACTGATGTCTTACTTCAAAAGATTAAAGCATTACTCTATAACCAAAGCCAGGACCAGATGGCTTGGCATGAAAAACTACATTATTAGATTGACAAAGACATTACTGGAGTTTCAGTCAAAATGAATAATTTTCACTCCTTGGAAATAAGGGAATGGTTTAATCACTCTAGGCTGCCTCATGCATTTCTGGGTCTAGCGTCTTCGCATGATCGTCGGGCATTTTCGGCAATGCATTAGAAATGTTTCCCCGGTGGTAAACACCAACTCTCCCTTTTTTTTGTTTTTGAGGGCTTTGCATCGGAGTCGGGTACCCGAGTACTGACCGCTCATGTCACGGGATCGGTATACCCGTAACCAACTTTGCAAATTACTTAGTCACCTCTCAGACAATGAAAAAGAAAGATTGAACGTCATTTGTGGGGAATTTTCAAAATGAAAACTGGGCTACATGGAAGAAACAAAACAGATTTCAAGCTCGCGAAATTCGCAGTTACACGATAAAGCTTAAAATAAAGCTCATTGTACACATTTGTATCTTGCTGCATTGACACACCAATATCGTATAATATCGTGTGGACCTTTATGAACAATCTGAACAGCAACTTCCGAGATTTTGATTTTTGGGGTTGGGTTTCTTGAACAGGTACCCGGGTACCCCTGTTTTCATTTTCAATCGGGTACCAGGTTCCAGTACAACCCGTGGATATACACCCCTAGTTGAGGGAGTACTTGTGCACAGAGCACAATTTTTTGACATGCAGCGGATCAGTGTAATGGACTATTGGATCAACAAGAGAAAAGCAGATGTAAAAGCTTGGTATGAAAGATTTAGGTAAAATCTGAGCCACAGTACACTAACAAATTTTATAGAGAGGTAACCAAAATAAATTTGGTAGAACTAGCGGGTGATTCATGTAACCTTATGACATGGCGTGGCTCCTCTTTTGCCACAGTTAATTGTATGGGGTCCGCTCATAAGTCCGACACCTCATTAGTCCGACAAAATCGCATCCCCTAACCAATTAAAGGCCCATAAGTCTGACGCCTCATCAGTCCGATGCCTCATAAGTCCAACGCCTCATAAGTCCGAAATTTCGGACTTATGAGGCGTCGGACCTCTGAGGCGTCGGACTTGTGATACGGCCCAAATTGTATATCAGGCATGAGAATGAATTTCAATGAAGAACAGGAAACTTGTGTAAAAACAGGAAAAAAAGATGTGACATCAGGCAAAACAGCCCCCAAAACAGGCTCAAAATAAATAAAACGCTGAAATTCAGGCAACAAAACAAAAACCCAGGAATTCCAGTTTAAACAGGAAGATTCTAATGCCTGGTATGTATGTAAGTTGCTCAACAATGTGTTTGCCTCATTTCATAAATGTTACATATACATGTATCTATGTAGTAGCCTGAAAGTACTGATAACACACTGATCATTTTACTAAATAACTGGTTCTCATCACAAAGTCCACACCTGTTAAACTTTCCAAGATTGATACAAGAAATTCAAAGCTTTCTTTTTGAGGGTTGCCACATGTTGATTTACTGTAGAGCAAATTTTTGATACCCATTTCCCAAGTAAGTACCACAAAACTATGTTCATAAACACAGGCAGATTCAATTCATTGCCTGTTTTGTCATGAACATGAAATTGTGAAAAAGTCATCATAAAAGCTACACATGATTTACTACATCTAAGTACTGGGATGACATACGTGCACACGAATGGCTTTTGTGGTATGCATTATACCGGTCTATGTACACGTCAGATCTGGTGAACTGCTTCAAACAGCCCCTATGGCACTCAGTAAGAAACAAGAGTTGCTCCCCATCCGAAACCTCAAAGACAATTAAGATAGTTGAAAGCAAAAACTTGGATTTCATGGCAGTTGACATGGTCAGGAAATTTTACATCACATGAAAGGACTAGAATAGTGTATATCCACGGTTACTGTGACAGCTCAAGTGTCAATTTTAATGAGTAACCTCGGAAGAGAAAATGAAAGCTTAAGAGCGTGGGTTTGTTTTGTTATGAATCAAAGAATGATTACTGGTAAATGATAGAAGTAAGGAGCATTAAGAAATAGTATAGGGTATCAGAACAAATCAAGAGTAGGCATTGACAGGTGATATGGTTCTGAACATGATATGGCAATTAAAAATGGCAGACATGACACAAAGCACCAAATAAAGAAACATAATACATGACCAGTAAATCTGAAATATGCCAGTTACATTGATATATGGAAGATTCAGGTGGGGAGGGGGAGGGGTGGGGTATGGGGAGGAGAGGGGGGTTCGATGGGAACAGACAGGCGATTAATGAGGTGAGGTGGGAGTGGACACAGACATTAGACCATATGGGATACCTGATGCGTTGCCTGTTGACGCTCCCCCAGACCAGAGAGATGCACGACGAATGGACAAATTCCGGCCCCGGTTCAGGCCGGCGGCGGCCCCCATGGTGGCCGGTGGGGCTATGGACACCCGTCGCGCTGTCATGGAAACGGTGACGGGCATGGGCGTGTCGTCTGAACATGGCGGATAAAAAACGGAAGCAGACGCGAATGGGCAGCCGGTGGGATGGGCAGGGAGTGGAAAATACATGGGATGTGGTGTGAATATGAAACTGCATGTTAGTGTGGTTATATAAATAAAAAGAAAAAAAGCTGACAAAAACACACAGTAACTGCAACGTTAAAAGCTTGATCGTATTAAAGTAGCAATTAATGTCCATTCATTACGGACGGAGGGACCTGTATTTGAGTTCCTGTTCGGTTTACAGGACAGGGTTTAATGATATGTATTATTTATTTGTACTGCTTGCCTTCATGCACTGCCTGCTTGCAGACAAGAGGGGTGAGATACGGGCCATCAAATCACCCCTCTTGACTGACTGTCATATTAATCAACTATTAGCAACGTGTGCAGGGTTAGTGATGGACGGCACAATGCATAAACAAATGCAAAGTCATGCCTTGCTTGGAATATACACTGGAAAAAAAAACCTACCATTGGAATCAACAGACCAACCTATCAAAGTTTCAGAAGTATTGAAATGATCGATGTACAGGACTCTGATACGTAATATCTGACAAATCAGGAATACTCAAAATGACAGAATAGATCTGGGTTCCTATTGGCAACTAATGCAGAAAAAGGATCAAGTTTTTACTTGGCATCATTGCTATGATATAATGCTTCCAATTTAACTACAGATGAATACTCATGACATGTACTGATGCTGTGATTTGGGATGAACATCAAGTGATGATTTTCACATGATCAACGCATCTCATGGAGTGTCAATATGAAATGGCTATGTGGAAACCTGCAGACGGTATATTCTCAAATCAATTTCAACATCATATTCCTCTTTTTTAAACCAAATTCTGTAAGGCTTTTAACATCATCGAGATCATTCATCTGCTAACTTAAATTTTTCTCACTGATGACAATTGCTTTGCATTGTCTGTCATAGTGTCAACTTTTAATCTTTTTTCCACTAAATATTTCATACTTTTCTTCATGTTCAACAAACTTTTTAGGGCGACCTGTAGACTTCCACAAACTCATTACATAGTGAAAACAATGAAATACTTATAAATAAAAGATAATGTACATGGGTGCATCAGACACTTGAATGTCAAATTATGTTGTATACAGATGCCTTCCTGACTACATAAAAACTAATACTTAACATGTATTCAACAAAACACCCATTACACTAGATATTCTACAAATAAAACATACAAAGAAACATAAAGTGACACAATGCACAACAAGTATAGATACTCAAACATTGTGTCATACAGTCTCCTGCTCACAAGAAAATAAAAGAAACAAACAAATTGTAAAATATTGCAATTTACATGTAAAAACATAGAGAAATTGTCAGAAGTCGGCCGTCCATTTTTTTCCCTTGTCAATATGAAAAAGTTCCACAGATACACATGTAGTCTTTATGTTCATAATTTAAAACACAATTAAATAAATCAAAGTACATGTATTGGGCCTGAAAAGATTAAAACAGAGAAGTTTATGTAGTTGAGAATTGTCAAACAGTGCATAACTTTCCATTACTTACCTTTTAAATGTAACTGTGCTACACATGCACATCATAAATGCCTTATCCCTAAGTATGCAAGTCAGATTTAATGCTCATCAATGAAAAGGTCGTTAACATTTTTAATTCAGAGATTTGAGCTTGATGTCAATTCTGAAAAGTAGACGGTTTACCTGGCAGTCAAATTTTTCTAGTAAATTCCTGATTCGGTTAGGGAAGTTTACAAAACTCTTAAGAGTAGTTTCAGATGAAGCCCAGACATGGTTTTGTCTGGTGCTTGACAATTTGTTCAAAACAATTTGCATGACAAGCAATTTACAAGTAAGGGAATTTTCAAATCCAGTTAGACAACATGTTCAAATGAAGTCCTGTTTAGTTGAGTTTAACGCTGCACACATTTCAAGCCAAATGTGAACATATCAAGCATTGTGTCATTAGGCAATGTCTGTACTCAAAACTCAAGTCAGAGAAGTTAAAGTCACGGAGTGTTTCACATCATGTTTCCATGAGGAAAAGTGCAAATCAACTATCATCACGTAAAATATAATGTAAATTAAGTCTCAGACCAGAGAATTTTCAGATAGAGATTCGAGCATGAAAGTTTGTTTCCTGTCCCATTATTATATCAAGTAAATAAAAAATATCTTTTTGGGACTTGAGTTACAGAGCTCGTATCAGGAGCTTGCGACAACATCACAGTGTCTTTGTCATCGGTAGCACATAAACTGTTTAACAATTTTCGCTCCCAGATGATCAGCCAGAAAGACAAGATTCCACACCTCAAGAAATGTGGCCTCGTATACCAGATGTTGTGTGATGGTTGTGAAGACACTTATATCGGGGAAACAGTTCGCACTTTGCAGACCCGATACAGAGAAAACACCAGTAGGTCAGCCCCCCCCCCACCCCCCCCCCCCCCCACAGCAGTTGGTGAACATATATTCTTCTCAGGACATAACATCTCGGTGGACAATGTTAAGATCATCGCCAGGGAGGACAACCTCTGGAAACGCAAAATCCGCAAAGCTGTGGAAATCCACAGGCACTGCCCCCATATGAACAGAGATTGAGAGTACGAGCTGGCCCACGTGTACGACCGCCTCCTGTCGTGGGACCAAGCCTAGTCACATGACAGGTCACGTGAGGGCCTCAACAATGCCAGTTGATAAAGACACCCTGATAGTGTTGCAAGCTCCTGATACGAGCTCTGTAACTCATGCCCAAAATAGTTATCTTTTATTTACTTAAGTAAAGAATCATTTCAGACTACATCAGGTCAAGAAAGATTTAGGTCAAGTGCCAATAAGTCAGGTACCAAAGTCAAGTCTTGACTTATGAACATTTCAAATCAGTTTATATTTATTTTTATATAAATGTTCTATGTTCTCTTTGGCTGCATAAGAGCTAGCAAGTCTAAGGACTATGGATAGTCTTATGGACAGAAAATTTGAAGACAAGTCAGAGAGATATGTCAAGAAAGTTTCAAGACAAGTCAGAGAGACTGTTTCAAGTCAAGTCTCAAGAAACCAAGAGAGGGAAGCTTCAAGGACCCAATCAAATGTCATTAACAGGATTATTGCCAAGAATTGCCTTATCAGTCATTCTGTAAGTCAGCTTTCAAGTGATGAAACATTGAGTTATATTTCAGGTCCAGCTTCTAGTCGAGTCTGTAAGTCAGGGATGAAATGAGTCATTAATGCACTCCAAATTTACGTCAGGAACATTTTGTGTCAATCAAACATGGGATATACATGTGTACTTGATTTAGTCTGTGATCCTCAAAATGCAAACATTTTGTCATAAATTTCTTTTGAACATAAGAAACCCTCTGGAGATATAAAAGTCAAAAGTGTAAAGTCAGTTTGGACAGTAATATAGCACACCTGGGACAACTATGGGACAACTACGTTTTGCCGTTTAGCTCACTGAGCAGTACACACTTTGGTTATTTCTTCCCACACCACAACACCTTCTACCGGTATATTATTTCAGCTGCCACACTTGTACCTTGTGTGCAATGCATCATGCCTAGGATGTGGGAAATGAGGTTGCTGCTTGTCAAAACCATTCACAGCATAGCATCGTCATTCTTTGTACAGCATTCCACTTTCAAATTACGAGTCTTTCTGACTGTTTGGTTGCAACGTAATTGCAGGACGTTCCCAAGGCGTGCATGTGGTGGCCAAAGGCTTACTACAAGAACAATTCTTGGTAACCTACATGCCCCTGTCAAAGGACATGAGTGCATAATGGCAAGGCATTCCCGAACGATCCATATCAGATTTATCTAATGCCCAAGACACTTCAAAAGACATTACATGCGATAGTTGATATCTTAAAGTGTCATGCGTACATGTATGCCTCAACACACAGTGGAACCGAAAGTATGCAATTACAGAAAACTTATTTGCATTTCAGGCTAGCATTGTTTTCATCAGGTCCTACATTACATCACTATCTGAAACTGAAGATGCCTTCCTTATTAGAGTCTTCTGTAATAAGTAACATTCTTCTGTGACAATAACTTTATAAACTTTTCAAATAAAAAAGGGAAAGTGACTAGGCGCATTAGAATAATTTCAAAGTTGAAAAAAAGACATTGGCAAACTGGGGAACCACCGACACACGGCTGGAATCTGGAGGTCGTAAGTTTAATCCCCACTCCAGTCAATTGTTTGTTCAACTTTAAAACTTAATATAAAAATTGTTTGTTGTGGCCATTGTTTTGGCCAGTTTTTAAATCCAATTTCAGACTGGCAATTCCAAGGCCACGCTGAACCAAAAAGTATCCAGAGTGACTCAAATCAACCCAAGTGACTTTGGTGCCAGTGCATTTAATTTTCCACTGTATAAAGCAAAGTCTGAAATCAAGACACCCAGGAGTCTTCTTACCGATTGCAACAATTGATTTTTTGGGCATGCACAAGTGTTACACATATAAGTCATTCCTAATCTCATGTATTACAAATTCAAACTAAATTCAAATCTAACGTTTTTCAGTCCTAAGCAGGACCTTTCTCAAAAGTCCTGATTTTGAGCAAAATGTTAATTACGCCCTCTAATTTCAGTTCAATCCAGCCAGTAAGCAATTTGCAGCAGTTTTATTCATGTTCATGTTTTAAGTCAAATGTAAGGAATAACTGAGTTCAGGAAACTCTAAAATGCCAATCTGAGCAGGTGTACCGGGTGAGTAAAAAAAAGCGAAACCCAAATGTCAGGACTATTGTTTTAGTGAAGTTCTGTCTGCATGTAGCACTTTCATAATCTAGGATATGAAAGACCAATTCATAAGCTCTCTTTTAGTACAAGAATCATTCAAATCATTCATGTACTTTTCAAGTTACAGAATTTGAAACACAACCACCTTTTTTAAGTTCTGTCCACGGATCACAAAAAAGGTGTGCGTTCTTTCAGTAAAACGAAAACAAATCACAGACATACCTATAAGATTTGTTGTCGTTTTGAAAGAACGCTTACCTTTTTGTAATCCGTGGACAGAACTTTAAAACAGTGGTTGTGTTTAAAATTCTGTAACTTGAAAATTACATGAGTGATTTGAATGATTCTTGTACTACAAGAAAGCTATGAATTGGGCTTTCATATCCTAGATTTTGAAAGTGCTACATGCAGAACTTCACTAACAGAATGGTCCTGATATTTGGGTGTTTTGTTTTTCTTGACTCACCCTGTATATATTCCTCCTAAGGTACATCTCCCTATTTAAGCAGCCAAAATGAAAGAAATTAGAACCGAGGATTGGGAGTCTTTAATACAGCAACTCTTCTCATAATGGCATCAACCAGCTTGATGTTAATAATGCTTTGAGTAATAACCGATACATACGTCCAACCCTGACTAGGTCTTACCTTCATCATCTGATGTGACATGGTGTGATGGTTCATAAGCTGCCTGGGTTAGGATGGGTACGTTGGTCATGTGGAAGGTCTCTCGAGCAGCTCTCTTCTTCTCTTGTTCACGGAGGAGTGTCTTCTTGATGTGTTCCCGTCGCTGAGTGGTACGCGACACTGCGACAGCGGCAAAGGAGCGCTGTAAGTGGAACAAAGGAATTGTTAGATTTTTCTGTCTCTCAGTATGTCACAGGAACGGAATGTAACTGCAAACAGGGTGTTACGCTGCAGGGTAAAGCAGCACAAGCCATCTGTAGTCAACTCCATCGCAAGTTTATCACGAGTCAAATCACGAGTCAGGTAATAACAAGCCAGGGATGGACAATGACAAAGGAATGTCTATAACACAGGTTATTTGAATACATTGTCACTTGATTTGTGATGACATCTTAAGACTTAACTAAAACTCCATCAATGAGGATTCAATGATCCTGAGTTGAAAGACGAACTTACTCCACAAAACAGTATCCATGTATAAAAGTCAACATCCGTCTATATGTTAAAAAAATTGTCATAATTTTACATTTTTTTTGCACACGATATGTCACTTTGTGGTGCGACCAACAAATTTAGAGGTATATCGCCATGTACTTTCAGTCTTAAGCTGTAGCATATATCAAATTCTACATGATTCAATGACCCATTCTGTATGTTTAAAAGCAAATATATAGAGCTTTGAACTTCAGTGATTATTTTTCCCACTGCCAGCAAAGACTGACAAAACTGTCAGCATGCAGCTCCAACATCATTAGTGTATGTGCTGACAAATGTTGTACTTGATTGGAGAATTGACACACTCTCTACTAATGTAACTAGGCCCTTTCACACTATCCCAAATCTTTGTGATGGACCCAGGTCGACCCCTGAGATTTCATCAGCAACCCCTCTTCACACTTAATTTTAGAGTGAAACACGACTTCAACACGGGTGTGGCACTCGGGAAAAATTTAACCTTAGTGTTGAGAGGTTGTACCCGGGTAGAAGATTTGTTAATCCATATGTTCGTGAGTCCAAAGGTTCATTAGTCAGAAGGTTTGATAATCCGAAGGTTTGATAATCTGAAGGTTCGATAGTATGAAGGTTTGGTAGTCCAAAGGTTTGATAGTCCGAAGGTTCATTAGTCCAAAGGTTTGATAGTCTGAAGGTTCATTAGTCCGAAGGTTCATTAGTCCAAAGGTTTGATAGTCCGAAGGTTCATCAGTCAGAAGGTTGAATAGTCTAAAGGTTCGTTAACCTGAAGGTTTGTGAGTCTGAAGGTTCATTAGTCCGAAGGTTCATTAGTCCGAAGGTTCGATAGTCTAAAGGTTCGATAGTCTGAAGGTTCGATAGTCTAAAGGTTTGATAGTCTGAAGGTTCATTAGTCCGAAGGTTCGATAGTCTAAAGGTTTGATAGTCTGAAGGTTCGATAGTCCGAAGGTTCATTAGTCGGAAGGTTCATTAGTCGGAAGGTTCATTAGTCCAAAGGTTTGATAGTCCGAAGGTTCATCAGTCAGAAGGTTGGATAGTCTAAAGGTTCGTTAACCTGAAGGTTTGTGAGTCTGAAGGTTCATTAGTCCGAAGGTTCATTAGTCCGAAGGTTCGATAGTCTAAAGGTTCGATAGTCTGAAGGTTCGATAGTCTAAAGGTTTGATAGTCTGAAGGTTCATTAGTCCGAAGGTTCGATAGTCTAAAGGTTTGATAGTCTGAAGGTTCGATAGTCCGAAGGTTCATTAGTCGGAAGGTTCATTAGTCGGAAGGTTCATTAGTCAGAAGGTTCGATAGTCTAAAGGTTCGTTAACCTGAAGGCTGGGAGTCTGAAGGTTCATTAGTCCAAAGGTTCGACAGTCCGAATAGACGATGAAGTGCGATAGTCCGAATTGACAATAAGTTCAACAGTCCAATTGACAGCATCGAACATTATTGTCAATTTGGACTATTGAACCTAGTGCACTTTCAGTTTAATGAACCTTTCGGACTATTGAACCCTGTTATCATTTTGCAGTTTTAATTGAACCTTCAGACTAAATTAATTAACCTTATTTTAAATTCGGACTATAGAACCTCCTGACAAATGAATTTGATTAACGAACCTTTGGACTAATGAAGCTTTGGACCATCGCATCAAATGCACGGATTAACAAACTTTATTTCATTTTTGGACTAATGAACCCTGGGTATGGGAAATTTGTGTGTTCTGACTATCCAATCTTGGAATCATGCAGTGACCTTCGGACGATTGAACCAATTTGGACTAGTATCAAGTGGACCCCATGCAAACTGGTGTAGGTGTGAACAGTACGCCTTGTTGACCCATGTTCAATTGGACCTGGTTCCACTCACAACTGTTTCATGTTTACTTCTTCACGGGTAGGTGGGAGTGTGGAAAAGGCCTACTGACAGTTTGAGTTAATAATCAACTGTGATCAGAATGCACAAAGATGAACACACATACATGCAGTGATAACAATGATGCATAATTAAAGATGATTTCTCAGTGATTAATTGTAAATGCTTTGAACACGTGATTTTTTTTAGAGAAAATTGAATTCAAATGAATCACGGATGAATATATGCACAATCCAAACAGAACAATGTCTTCTCTCTTACGTATGTACAGCATGTGTACGTACACGTATATACATTCACGCACGTATATAAATGCATACATGTACACATGCTGTATCTGAAAGGAGAACTAGCTACACGCCAATGTGACTATAGAGGTCACTGTTCATATGGGTCTGCATGACACAGCGTGACAAAAAGAGCACCGATTTAGGTGCGGTTTCGGGCACATAAGGATCGCAGTAGGGGGACAACTTATCATGGCAATCAATCGCTACATCCAGCAACTCTATGCATCCTACGAACCGCCAAAGCCGGGTGACCACCCATTTGAGATAATTTATGATGAACAAAAGTGGCGTCGGGATGCAACATTCTTTCCCCTTTTCCTGACAATGTTTCCAAAATGGGAAACAGCAACGTCTACATGTGACAAAGACTCTAGGTTTGGAAGCCTAGGTGTTAATGAAACAAATTAAACATAAGGAGGTGGCCCTCTCCCCCCCCCCCCCCCCAAAAAAAATGGTGGATTGATTCTTCCATATTCTCAACTCTTTTGAAGATACTTTTGTGTCCAAACAAGACATCATCATTTCCACCAGATTTTGAACTTTTTAAAATTCACTAGAAACTAAATAATGAAAGGTTTGCGGAAACACCACGTGCGAATAATTTCTCAACTAAAAGAATGGTTCTGAAAAAAACCAGAGGTATAAACTCGACGTTCCGGTCAGTATGCTCTGACCGGACGCTCCTGAAGACGGTCAGAGCATACTGACCGGAACGTCGAGTTTATACCTCTGGTTCTTTTCAGAACCATTCTCTTAGTTGAGAAATTATTCGCACATGGTGTTTCCGCAAACCTTTCATTATTTAGTATCTCCACCATGCAAAGCCTCAAATCTTACTCACTAAAAACTAAGACAAAATTTTACTGCTAATGTGTAATTAAAAAACAAAGAATGAAGGACGGCAGGAAAAAGGAAGCGGGTGGGGCGGTGGGGATGAGAAATTGGTTTGGTTGTTACTTGGCCTTAGAAAGCAATCCAGGCTACACAAAGCTGAAAGCTAATCTGATAAACTAATGTGATATATGTCACCCAGTGGACATGCACTAAACGTGTGACTCTCTAAACTGATGGAAACTAGAGACTAAAATAGTACAATAACAGACTTTAATCTAAAACAAAAGGATTGTTACAGGCGAAATAATGTGTAAACCAATCTTATTGAACAGCGTGTTCGCCGCAGTACTACTACCTCCCACCAAAACCGTAAACAATTGCAATACTGCACATAAAGCCAAAAAAAAAGTCTCCGGTTTCTGGTATGCGCGCGCGTCGCCGTAGCCATGTGCGTCGGCAAAATGAAAACGTTTTTTTTTCAATGAAAGATGATGTCTCAAAACCGCCAAACTCACTGGTTTGACTGGAATCCTGCTGCTGCACAATTTTAACGTGTTTTTAGATGGGGTTATGATCGAGAATAAGCTTTATGTGGCCTCTCTGGACTCCCATACATTTGCACTAAGTCTAGTCGGGCACCATTTGCAGTCATCAGCCTACATTTTGAGGCAAAAATATCAGGTAAAAAAAAAAAAAAGCTGCGTCGCCGCACCACTTTTTGGGCAAGCTCCATACCAGAAACCGGAGACTTATTTTTTTTGGCCTAAGGATGTTATGGATCTACCAAAAACATTACCAGTATGATGGACAAATGGTCATTCACTGTGTATTCTCAATTACATAAAATAACCTTGCAAACAAAAAGAATAGACATTACTTCCAGTGGCGCACCCAGGATTTGACTTGGGGGGCTCACAATTTTTTTTCTTCAAATTTTTCATAAGTTTAAGTTTTTCACAAATTTGCCACAAATTGTTGGCCGCAGCAAAAAAATTGGGATTTTCTTGGGGGTGGACTATTTTGACGTTGGTGGTCCCACTTACACCCCTATTATACTACCCGAAAACAGGCCACATACATATCATTAAGTTCAAATCGTGGGACTAAAGCCCCCCCCCCCCCCCCCCCCCCCCCCCCCGTTCCGTGTGCCACTGATTACTTCATCATAAATTGATTCCAATAGTGATGACATCAGTTACCTGTATGTACATGCAACATCTACACCTACATGATTGGCTTAAAGTCTCTGGACATAAAAATGTACATAGCTGGTTTTTAGAAAACGTTATAGAATGGAACAAGTCAACTTAATATGCCACAATTTTTTTACCAAAAATAACCTTTATTTTCTGAATGTAACGTTAAAGCAACGCTAAAGATCGTTAAGCACACAAGCCATACCGCACCACTCTCCAGGTTGCAAATAATACTGTTTTTATTTAATGTGCCTCCGCCCCCCATTTCCAGCATCAGTGCAGCTCTTACAAGTACATGTATGTGTTTGTGTCTACGTCCATGCATGATTTCATACAAGATTATAACTTTTAAATTTTCTAATTCAGTATTGCAATGTAATTTTTGTAATGCAGTCCTTGAAAATGCACATTATAGTGTCCCATTTAACCTGATTTTCAATTTTGCCATTTTTAAGGGCATTTTGCCAATGAAAATGTACATATTCATGAGCAGACGAGTGATGTCATTTCAGGCAGAAAGCTCAATGTTACAGGTGTTTCAGCATCACAATTTGCTACAATTTTGGATATTTTCCTATCTTAAATGTTCTTTTTCTTGGTGATTTGTTGTTGTTTTAGTAAATATTAGGCCAATGAGCAAAGTTTTCCCATGAATGTTTTCAATGAGCAACTTTTGGGTTCGCAATTTTAACAGAAAATGCCTAAACTGAACAGTGTCTTCCTGAAATAACATCACAGCAACAGGGCCCTTATTTGTCAAGAAAATCATGGAAAATTTGAAATGTATAAAAAAGTGAGCTTTTCAATCAAATTAACCAAAAAGTGATGTCAAATAGTTTTCATATATTTAACAGGAGTAGAAAGTTGCACAAAATATGAGCCCATGTCATGGGCCCTTTAACAAAAGACTTGTGACTCAGACCCAGACTCGGACTTGAACCAAATGACTCGAGACTCAGACTCGGACTCAACTCAAGTGACTTGACAACAACACTATATATATGACATAGGTTAAGTAGTAAATGGTTTTTAAATGATTGTTTTCTACAAACTCTACTACAGATAGACCAATTATTAGCAACAATTATTACTTCTCTTACATCTTTTCAAATAGACTAATTCAACGACAGCCATTTTCTGAGGTGGCACCAGGCTTGCGCGAGTTGCGCTCAGGTAGTAGGCACACACTCTGGGCTCCTTCATCGCGTGCTACCAAAATGCATGCACCCCTCGTCTTTTAGAATGTGTGCGGCATGAGCACGAACATGATGCTAAAAATTCTCATTTTGCTCGCTGAATTAGTCCATAAACCAAATGTACATCTCTCATGGAATTTTCCCACTCTGAGAAATGAAACTAAAGATCTATTGGGTGTATTAAAATTATACAGCATGGTTTGGGAGAGGGGGAAGAAGCACGAAAATAGTCGTGGTCCTCGGTGTTGGATGATTTCGAACACCTGCCTCCATTTCAGCACCAGTGAGTTTGCACTACTTCTCCTCAAATTGTTGGAGAGTTTGTATTTATGAATTGGTATTTTGTACATGTATAGCACACACTGTCCCACACTGCAAACAACAAACATGTATGCCTTCTCTTCATGGGTATTAAGGAAAAGGACCGTTGGGATCATCAGCATTAAAGCAGTGGTAACTCCCAGGGTAAATGACAAGATTTCAAACGGTATTAAATGTATATGGACTAGCTGTATCATTCTACAACGGAACTAAGTGACAAGTATGAACCAGCTGGCAAAAAGGAAATGAAAACAAAACAATAACCAAAACAAAAGCGAGATTCCAGCAAAGTTGTGGGGACGTACGACAGAAAACTGTTCTAAACTCTGAGCCTCTAACCCTGGGACAATGGGCTGGTTGGTCACCATGGCGGGATTGTAATGGAGAAGTATGGAAGTATATGGAGGGATGTTGGAAGTTACACAAGCCCCGTGTCAATGTGAGTCTTCATTGGAATGCTAAGAAACTGCTGTCGTTTTCATACATGAGAAAGAGTTGAGAATATGTGCAAATACTTCAAAGTTTGAAACGTCTGCTTGAAAGTACAGTTGAAAGCAACTCTTATAAAAGATTACGTACAGGGTAGGAGCAGCAAAAATTGAAGTTTTCACATATGCAGGCAATTTTGGCAGAACTTTACACTCAATTGAAGTGTCTCATTCCAAAAGGTCAAGAAATTTTTCTCATGATTATTTGTGTTCTTGACAAGGGGCTTAATATGTTGTGGGTTTACCAAGGTTACGATCTGATGTTAAAATTAAGAGTAAGAACTTACAGATAATAACCTCCAACATAATGGACCTGTGTTGGTATTAAAGATTCCCGGCTGCAGTAGTATTACAAATGATATAAAGGAAAAAATTAGTTACAGGTTCAGTGAGAGCTGTTTATTTAAATCAATAACTACGATGGTTGTGGGGATTTATTCATTCAGATCACAGCATTCTGAATTTGGTTTAACCAATGTGATAATTGCCCAGTGCATAATTCATCAATGCTTAATACATCCAATCTGACATTGCTCCTTTTAAGTGACTGTCACATATCAAGACTCAAATAAAAACCTTCATCAATTTCATTGAAAAAATGAAGCCTGGTTTTCAAGAAGGAAATTTTGCAGAATGCTAAAGTTCCCAGTAGGCATTGGGGTATACACAGTGTTACACATTGCAACATGTAACATGGTTACTGTGTTCGACTCGTATGCCATCGTACATGGGTTCGAATCCTGACCGTGAGAACATGGTGCTTGTGCTCTCGAGCAAGGCACTTTACCATTATTGCTTCGTCCTTCAGATGGAACGTAAAGCCGTAGGTCCCGTGTGTTGTGTCATGCACATTAAGGAACCCAGTAACACTTGTCGCTAAGAGAAGGGGTTTGCCCCGGTGTTTCTGGCAGTGGCTGCAATATGCCCCGCAGCACCTAGCAAAAAGGTGCTACATAATGGGTCTCATGTGTTCGTATACTTATTTACCTGTCTTTCGTTGCATTCTCCCCCAGCGCTTTGTATCCTTTGGAAAAGGCGCTATATACGGTTATTATTATTATTATTTATTATGATTACCCTGAGTAAACAGTGTTTATACGTCGGTATAGGGCAAAACCTAATATTGATTTACATCACCCGACTCAAATGTCAAGTAGCTGCCACGGCTCAAAATTAACGTGACCAAAAACCGGGCAGGATCCTGCCTGTTTCAGAAAAAGTCTGAAGTTTACGAAATACATATTGTTGACATTCGGATATGGTCGCAATAGCTCGGTATTTCTGAGAGTGAAGTAGTTTTTTTTTACCAACAAAACACCTGTCGTACTTGTTATCAGTTTTGAAAATTTTGAGTTAATAAATCCATTGCAAACATTCAAACATTTCAATGCCAGAGGAATCACCCAGTATCTGTATTAAAAGTCCAATGAAGACATTGTGCCTCAACTATGCACTCATACGATGGCCGGTCTTTGCTGAGTCAGATTCCAAGCTACCAGCCATTGAAGTCCTTCTTATCCACTAATCCACTTTAAATAATGAAATGTGGTATCCACTACTACTTCAGATAGAAACTGGCCAGCTTGACCATGCAAGCTAGTTCAGTAGTAAGATACTTACACTAGAAAAGAAAAGGTAAAGTCACACCTAAGTAAACTTGTCAATTTTTTTCTCAGAATCTCTCGGAGAGCAATATTAGAAGGGCCAAACCAAATATTAAATTACATTACTCGATGCAAGAATTCCATTTCTAGTCACTGAATAGACACTTTTTTCTATTACATAATATGTACTTGAGCTACAATCAGTTCAAATTACTAACCAAAGAAACTGTTGGAAAAAGGGTTAAATCTCACGATAAATTAGTCAATCCAAACCATGCGTTATAGAAAAAGTTAGTAATAAATTTTAGATAAAACTTTTCTACTTTACTACAGCTAAATTCTGCAAGTAGTTCAAAACCATTAGGGGAAGGAAGAAAATGAAGAGTTTATTTTCAAAACACGATATACGTCATTTTTTCCCTTTTAGAATGTCGCCCTCTCCCGGCTGCGAATTTCTTTTTCCCAAACGACATCCTCATGAGGTGAACACTATGACGTTTGGAAGTCTCTTAAAAACATGAGAAAAAATTATAAAATTAGAAAAAAAGAAATGAATTCGAACGTAATGAAATTCGGACTTATTTCCCTTTTTAAAAATCCTCCAAAGCCTCAGATTAGAAAAGTAAGAAATTGGGGTTAAAATGGTGATTCAAACCCATACCGCGTGGATCCCTCCCGGTACCAAATCACGATCCTACCCAACTGAGCTATCAAACTGCTCGCCAAATCCTGGAAATTCATGGTAATATATACTTGCATACGTATCATAAAAGTATCGTAGAGGGCGCTCAACAACCATGTAATGCGGATGTTGTTTGGGAAAATTTTTTGACACTTTCGATGGCTGTTATATAGTTTCACACGATAAAGTTTTTATTAAAAAAAGGGAAATTTAGAAACAGCTGTTATCCCCTACTGTTTTTATTCTTTAAAGTTTTATAACCGTGCACATTTTTCATTTTTCAAATTGATGTATCGTGTTTTGGAAACTCTTCAAATGGACGTGCTGTGTTATATAGGAATTAGATGCACAAACAGGATCAAACTAGCTGAAAGCGGCGATCCAGACCTGAGATTCAGTGGCAGCTCTTTTGCACAATCCTGTCAGGAAGGCCCAAGCAGAGATACCAGCTTTGCTCTACGATGTAATCAGGACATAATGGTTGAGGGAAGCAAAGCGTTGGTTAGTCCCAAGTGTTGGGTTCTTCCTCTGCTAAAAAATACTTCTACAATTAAACAAGCTGGGAGTGAACTCTACGGACTCCGTGCATGACATTTTTAAACCACTTTTGAGAGCACCATTGGAAGGGACACACATCGTGCACACAATGCCTTACATGTATACTTGTGGGGAAGACGAAAGACCTTGAGTTTGTTTCCCTTCTTTTGTTTTCCTTTGTTCCTGTTGAAATCTCAAAATCCATAGCGTTTCCCCTATGGGGAATCTAGATTTCTGAAGACTTCCTTGTGGGGTTTATTGTTCTATTGTGTTTTCTACCCCAGGAACTATGTACATGCTCACTGGTTTGCATACATGTGTACGCACAACTAATTCTATTTTGAATGAGCATAAACTGGTAATGTGTTCATGTGAGCATCATGTCATCAGCAACACATGTGACCTGTTCTGTCAAAAACAGATGCTTCTGGGCAGAGGTTGAAATTGAGATAGGGCCAAAAAATGCTGCGGTGGTGATTTTTTTCCATTTTCAAATTTCTGCATATTTGTAATCCTGAACATGTCTAAAATATACTATAAAAGTTTGAAACCCTTATTTGAACTCTAAATAAAGAAATGTCACTTGAAACAGGTCTTAAAATAGACCCCAACCTTTAACTGCCATTTTCTCCGTTTTCTACTTTTCGACATGATGAACTCTGCCCAGGAATGACCGGTTTCAAAAATAAACCACCTATTCAAAGGAAAATGTACATATTTTAACAATATGCAAAAATCTCATTTTTGACCTTATGCCTAGAACAGTCTGATTTTGACAGAACAGGTCACACATTTGTAGGTCCCTCCCAGTGGTCTCGATCCCCCAACACTCTCTCTGTAACTGATGATGGGGGTTCTAATTAGCTTGCATGCACGGACTCCATACTACATGTACTTGTACCCATAATCATGGTTATTGCTAAAATCTGCCATTTGAAAACTACATTTACAGAATGCTAGGAAATACGCTCTCAGTTCTACTTGTTTGTCAGGCACATTTTCACTATTTTGAGAAACTAGGCCCATGCACTATGAACCAAATTTCCTTTTGATAATTTCATTTGATATTGATCTTGAAAAGGGAAAAAGCAACCGCAATGTCAAATTTGGAAACTTCCCAATGTTTATCTTTCATCAGAGTCTGTCTTCATACTTGATTTTAGGTACACATATTGGCAGAAGTCGTACAATATTTTGAAGGCACCTACTTTAGAATACTTTAAGTTTACATAAAATTTTTATTAAACAACTAAAACAATTTTAAGACAGTTTATACAATGTAACCTCTGAAATGCAAAGGTTAAAGGTCCAAGTTTGGAATACTAACACATGAAAACAATATAGCGTAATGATTTCATGCTTGAAATACTCAGGTTGTATATGTAATGTTCTCCTTTTTTCTTGACATACATGTATGCAAAGCACATCATGCATTCTTCTGAATACCTACTGATGGTGTGAGGGAACAATTGTACAGTTTTTACAACAATCAACAGACAAGCACATGCAAACACATGAGACACGTTTGAATGTTTGTATGATACATGGAATCATCCTGTTCAAAATATCATCCCGTTCTAATTGAAGGTGAAATTATACGGTGGGACATTGGACATTTACCAACAATTTACCACGTTTGTCTGAACAAATTATGGACTATATTTTATGCACGTGACACCTCAATATTGATTGTGCCTGGTCTTTTTTGTCCTAGCAGTTTCTCTAATGTCTCCCCGTGGCAGTAATGCTACATTTTTGTAAACACCAAGAACAACAGAGCCATGACGCATATACAGGGTGAGTTTTAAAAAAAACGAAACCCAAATGTCGGTACCATTGTTTTAGTGAAGTTCTGCATATAGCACTTTCAAATTCTAGGGTATAAAAGCCCAATTCATAAGCTTTCTTTTAGTACAAAAATCATTCAAATCACTCATGTACTTTTCAAGTTACAGAATTTTAAACACAACCAGTGTTTTAAGGTTCTGTCCACGGATCACAAAAAAGTTCAGTGTTCTTTCAGTAAAATGAAAACAAATCACATAAGGATGTGTGTGAATTGTTTTCGTTTTGCTGAAAGAACGCACACCTTTTTTGTGATCCGTGTACAGAACCTTAAAACGGTGGTTGTGTTTAAAACTCCGTAACTTGAAAAGTACACAAGTGATTTGAATGATTCTTGTACTAAAATAAAGCTTATGAATTGGGCTTTTATATCCTAGATTTTGAAAGTGCTACATGCAGAGCTTCACTAAAACAATGGTCCCCACATATGGGTTTCGTGTTTTTTTTACTCACCCTGTTCAAATTAGTGAAAGATAACTTCAAATTTTTCCCTCCACTTTTGTTGACACTTACCGTTTCCTCTTCTGTGGACACCTTCTCTTCTAGGTCAGAGGTCGTGAATGGCATCCAGGGCGGGTCAATCACGGCAATGTTGGACATCCCAATGGTGGGTGATGGGACTGTGAAGTCAATGCTGGGTGGTGGTACCTGGGGTGAGAAGATCAGAACAGCTGGGTTAAATTGATTATTGGAAATTGCGTTTGACCGAATATTCAAAACTCAATGATAAAGTTTTAGACATGCCAGCTGCAACTGCGTGCTGCTCAGGTCAAAAGTTCCACGCAAAGTCATGAAAGTGCGCCAGTTAAAATTTGCGTGCAGCGATCAATGATGTGGGCTGGGCTGCTACAGTGTTCTGCAGTAAGTGTTTCATAATCGTCTTATGAATAGTTAATGCAGTACCCGCTGCTATGTACATCAGATTCGAACCAGCCAACCAATCCCGTTAGTTCGGTGGTCGAGTAGTAATACATCTGCACTAGAAAGCAGGAGGTCGTGGGTTCGAGTCCCACCCGAGTGATTTTTTCCAACTTTCACTCGGGAGGTAACACACTGAGTATACAGTGTTTATACGTTGGTGAAGGGCAAAACCTAATTTGATTAACTGTCTAAAGGGATGGGAACAATGAAACGCTGTTGACAAAAAAGTTGCCATCAACAAAAAAGCCGCATCTGACAATAAAGCGCCGCAACTTTACGATTAAAGTAACATCACCGTTGTATATTTAAAATGTCCGAACCAGCAAAAGCTATTCGAATATTCCGTTGATGATCGAATATTCAAGTATTTGGTATATCCGGGACAGCCCTAGAGTTTATCAATTATAGTTAAGGCCGGTTTATAGTTTCCATGTCAATGTGAATGCGATGTGAACTTGACATCACAAAGCTTTTGCTTTGTTCAATTTTGTGAATTCGCAGCGTGAAAACTTGCCCTGACATCATAAAATCCCAATCGCTTTCGCGCCGAGTATGAAACGGCCTTTATTTTACCCATGCTTTTCAACATTTGCAAGCTTTCAATTTTCATGTTTTGTTTAAAACTGAAGTACTTTGTTTTTGCTATTTTGGACGTTTTCAACGCTCTGAAACTATGCTTTTGTTTTGGTTTGCATTTGTGCTAATAGCATACAAAAAGATAGGCATGGGTTATTGTCAGGTTTAAATTTGTAAAGTAATTATTCCATAACTAAACGTGGGTGATTTTTTTTTATTGATGCCTCATTCAAAAGTGAATAACTTTGCTAGAAAACTAGCGATTTTAAAAGAACATTGTTTTTTTTCGGGGTGAGACTCGAAAACAGAAAAGGGAAAGTAACTAAAAATGTGACTGATGTTGAATTTGGAAACGGAGGGGGGGGGGGGGAGTATCTTCTTTGGACCAGCTCACATGCTATCTCACATCCGATCTCAAAACCTTTCCAGTTTGTTATTTATCTAGTGGGAGAGAGCACGCACACACAAAATAATAAATTGGAGTAGGTTTTGGAAAAAACAAAGGTAAAGAACCTCAGGTTATGTACAGTTGAACCTAGGATAGGAAATCTCTAGGTAAAGCAGTTTGTGTAGGGAAAAAGAAAATGTATGGTGGATTATGTTCTATTAATATGTTACTACTTTTTGAATTGTCATTTTCTACACGGTTTATCTCTGAACTGATAATCCTGGAATCATTTTCCACTTAATTAACTGCTCATAAAAACAGTATAAATGCAAGCTGGTCATGCAGGCAATTGGAAAAAGAAGGACTTTAACACAACACGTAAATGTAAAAATCATATAGACAGATAAAGTTGTTATGTAGGCATGGCAAGTCAAGTCACACGCTACTCAAATAAACCACGACAACAGGAATTCTTTTGATTCTGTTAATCCTTTCTTTACTTGTGACCCAACTTGTGATTTGTCAATTGATTGACTTGACAACAATTCTGTAAGAAGCTTGTTCTTACTCTGAAGATCAAGGAAGCTTTTTCCTCCATGCGTGGCCAGACTTGATGTCTGAATCGCCAGAGAACAGCAAACCTCTGGATAGCATCAGCTCGTTGGCCTGCTTCTTGATGATGCATCTCTCCAGCGATGAGTTTACTGACAGTCTCAGGGATCTTGACGGCACAGATCAGTACCATGGCAGCTGTAAAACCACACAACACAAGGCATTAGGATGCAAGCTCTATGGTCAAGTGGTAAAACCTCTGCACTAATGATGTGCATCGGGTCAGGTATTGTAGATATACAACCCAATCCAAATAGAACCCGATCTAAACTCCCTAAAAACCCGACAAAAATTCAAGCGAAACTGACCCAAACCGACCCAAACCAAACCGACTCCAAAAAACCCTGAATAGCTGACTTGGGCTACTGTGTCCGATTTTGTGCCGGAACTTACTTGCGTCGCGTGAAAATCGTCGTCTCTCAGTTAAGAACTTCATATCGTACTGTACAGTAAGACTCATAATGTTACCTACTACTGGAAAGCGCTTGAGCGCTTGACCCTACACATTATAATAGACTTTGCGTGATAGACTGCAAACCACATGAACATTCGAGTTTGCACGGTGGGTCGTACGGGGCACAGTAACTCTGCAATAACATGGCACCGCATGAATTTCTGACCTGTTTTGGGGTTTTTTTTGGTAAATTTCAGTTTAACCGACCTGACCCGAAAATCTGAAACACAAAACCGAAACCAAAACCGAAACCGATCCAACTGAAATGATGGGAAAAACAGTACACCTCATGTGTATATCTATGACTTGCTCTCACGAACGAAGATCGCGTCAGAACCTTTCAGAATTGAGACTTGTTATGGACCCCAAATTTAAATATGTTATAGACCCTGAATTGAACAATGTGATCCTGAACTTTATAACAAATCTTGAAAAGTGGGTGGCGCATTGTATTATGAATTGCTCCTATGGGCTCCGTGCACAAGTACCCCCTCAGCGGTAAGAATGGGAGAGTTGGAGGAGAAAAAATAGACTTATATTCGAATGCATTGCTGACGACGCCTAGTGGTCACATGAAGATGCTATTGCTTTATGCACATTCAGAATGAAATAAGATAACCAGTACGTGCACCTGGTGCGTCCAATCAATGGGGGCTCTCGAAAGTGATAAAAAGGCGCCCTCTCTGTTCATGCATGGAGCCCATTGTGAAAACACCAGCATGTTAAGTGGAACCTCTCTTCTGTGCACTTTGTTCCCATTTTACCAAAGAAACCACCATCGATTAATGGGCAGCTTGAATTAAGTTACCTACCTGCAGAGCCAGCAAGCTGCTGACTGCTGTCCAGTAGTAACTCCCAGGCTAATGTCAGAATATCAGCAAAGAGGTCTTCAGTCAGAATGGGTGCTGCCTTGCCAAGGAGGGATAGGGGACTGTGCCACAGGTACATTGCCTGGTGGACCCAACAAATCGCAAGGACAGGTTTAACATTCTTGGATTCTTCGTATGACAGAGTTCCGTCATGGCCATTTCATACTTCAACTGACTGACAAAAATTGTTGGTGTAAAAATGTTTCCGACTTTATCAACTGTTGACTGCTGTGATGTAGAATATGGCATACCCCAGGCCAAGCCAAGGGTGCTAGGGGGTTAAAAATGACATATCCCACGTCACAGCAGTCCTGGTAAACAGAAGTTCAATTGTACGGTCACACGGCATTGAATAAATCAAATAATGAATGTTTCACCTTTGTGCAATGGAAAGAATATTTTCAATCAGTAACAAGTGGAATTCCATCTGTCACCTAATGAAATTATTCTTACCATTGCAATAATAAGCATTCATTTTTTGTAAACCAACCTGCGTTTTGAGATATTTGAGCTGTGGCGAGTCTTCCTTCTTGGGCCATTCTAGTTCCATAGGGAAGGAGCCCCCAGTCAGAGCCACAGCCGAGTTGGTGCGGCTAGTAGACGTGGCTGCCTGATGCCTGAAGACACTGACCTGCCGGTCTAAGGTAGAGGAGGTGCTCTCTCGTCTCAGCTCTCGGAAGCTACGAAGGGTGGAATGACCCTGACCAGACTCCTGCAGTCAAGATGTGGAAATAGAAGGTTAACTTCACAACGGTATAACTGACAACCAAACAAAGTGTCTCAATGGCATCCGCTAGCCATACACATTCTCCAAGGACTTGTGAAAAATTGATCAAAAGAAAGAAAAAACAAGGAAAATAAGCAGACCCTACTTTAACTGACATATCATCACTGTTTTCACGAAGAGACACGTCAAAAATTACCATTTTTTCGATTTTGATTTGTTTTCACTATTTTGCTTTAAAACATTGTACTTAACCATTTTGACATGTTTCTGTAAGCAAAACAACTCCCTAGAATGTGTGTAAAATCACATTAAAATTGGAGGATTCAGGACTGTTAGGGTTAATTTCCAAATTACATTAATGATGCAAGGGGCAGACATCTCGATAATTGCATTTTGCGTTTATACGAAGAGACACAAACATTTTGGCCCATTGAATGCGTACAAAACGTATTGCCTAGAAAGGCGTAAAAGTAGGTCAACTGCGATTTTCGTTTTCCCAAAGAACCACATATCTTTACTAATAAATTTTCGTTAATAAACTACTTTGTTAATTCTAATTACTAGATTCCCGTAACAATTCACCTCTCATAGAATCATATGAAGGTTTCCTTACTGCAAAAAGTTGTTGAAGAGTAGTATTTTTTTGCAGTTTCAGTTTTAAGACAGGAGAAAAATCCTTTGCGATTATTTTGAAAACAATTTGTCTTCGAAAATATCTTTGTGACGATATGATGTCCATTAACCCCCCCCCCCCCCCCCCCGGGGTACACCAACCTTGCGTTTGCCTTTGCCATCCATTCGTCTCATTCTCTCATCCATGTCATCATCCCTAGGTCTGAGGAGACTCTCCTCCCCACAGATATAGCGCACTGCCTTCATCAGGCGATAGCAGTTACGTTTCTGTCTCTCAAAGCAGTTGGGATGACAGCAGCGCTGGTGGTTGCAGATGAAGTTGGTCTTGCTGGCTATCTCAACAATAATCTGGGCCAAAGATGACATACAAAAATAAGTTCATCTTACCTATATTTTAGTAGAGTGCCCATGAAGTGATTTGTTAGAAAGTCGTACAGCACGGGTAAAAAGTTCCTCAACATACTCATGTAAAACACTCTTGGGCAAAACATTCATATTCTTAAATTTGAGGCATACAAACATTAAAGGCTTCCAATCAGCATTCAAGTCCATCACAAGTCCAACACAGTTCCAGTCACAAGTAAAGGACAAAATGATGGCGCCATGGTTCATTTGAATAGCTTGTGAGTTGACTTGGGAGTGAGTCGAATTTGAATGTGACTTGAGTTGGGACTGGATGACTAGTGCCCAGTTGTTGACTTGAGTCACTGACTCGAGTCAGACTCGAGTCGCTATGTTTTTTTACTCGAGACTTGAATTGACTTGGGGAAAAAAAAACTTGAAGAAAAAAAACTTGAGACTTGACTTGACTTGAACAAATATGACTTGAGACTCGATGACTTGACTCGAATAAATTTGACTTGCTGACAATAACAAGTTTCTTAAAGTAATAAAAAACCTCTGGGCGTTCGTGTGCACTAGCATGATCGGTTGAAAAGAATGCAGATAATACATAGCAAATTAGCAACCAACACGTGATAGCTGGGCATCCTGAGCCTGCCACACGTCATGTACATGACTAGCACTATGTGCGTGTTATGGACAACGTATCATACGCAACCTCATGCGAAGTGAAGTTTGTGTCGTGCGTAGTCTGAGTACCATCCGTTGTTATAGAGCAGTCATTCAATAGAGACCATAGGCTAAAGAGTGGTTTACCGTAAGCATACTAAATGCAACTAGGGACTACACAACTAGAAAACGGCTGCTGACCCCAATCCACCATAAAGCAACAAGAATTCACATCACGTATTAAACGAAAACGTTTGAAGGACAACATTTTGTCAGACGTCCTTCAAACGTTCAACATGATGAAACAAGTTTGAAAATATTATATCAAAGTGCGTTTTTAGACTCTCCTTACATTCTGAACGCTGGCTCCGTCGTCTAACACATAAACTGGTTCCCGTACGTAGTATGTGCATCTTATATTTAAAAACAAAATGACTCGAGATTTGACTTGACTTAAAAAAAAAAATGACTTGGGACTTGACTTCACTTGTGAACAATTGACTCGAGACTTGACTTGATTTGCTAAAGTTTGACTGGGGACTTGACTTGACTTGGAAAAAAATGACTTGGTTACAACTCTGCTAGTGACTGAATTGCGATCGACTTGAGATGAACTCAACTACAATACTACTTTCAGGATAAGTCTAAAAACAAAACTCAAAGACAGGTCTCATTGTTACCGGTATCCACGGCATGTTTTTGCTGAGATCGATGTCATCCAACCCCACCGTGTCCGGTGTGGAGGCTAGCTCAGGGACATGCTCCGGTTCCTGGGGGCTGACCTGCTCACTGAAGACACTGCTAGTCTCACCGGTGGAGTCATCATCCACGGAGATAGAGCTGATCTTACGGCTCTTGACGCTGCCTGAACGACCCAGCACTGTGGAATGACAGGTAAAGGCTCAGGAGTTAGCATGCTGCACAACGAAACAATCCACTGAATAGACCCCAGGTGTAATGACGTTATGCTTTGTTTTATATGTACAATAATACAAGAAAGCACAAAATGTAAAGAAAGCATGGCGTCATTATGTCTCATCAGCTAGGTCTATTCAGAGAGGAGAGGAGAGAACGAGGGAACAGATTACACAGAGACGAGGACAAAATGATGGGGAAAATAGAAGAAAAATGGCAGACAGAAATACGAAAAAAGAAGAAAAATTACAGACTGACATACGGAAAAAGAAGAAAAATGACAGACTGACCAGGACAGCTTAACTGATTTTGTCAAAGATAGACAGCAGTAAGGGTAAGATCAGAGGAGGATAAAGTCTATCATCTTTTTTTCTTTAAAATGTCCAGGCTGTCTGGTTTTGAAAAGCTTATCCAGCATAAGAGGAATTGCATTTTTGATGTAGATTGCCGTGATTTTAAGAAATTAAGATGGGTGCAGGTTGCTTAAAAGACAAATGACTTGGTAGATGCCGTGATGGTCAATTGTCAAAAACCACCAAAATTCAAATGACCATCAAACCCATTAATTCAATATGGAGTTTGTCAGTGTACTGGACCAACTTGATACAAGATGATAATGACGTAATGATAAGTGACATTTCGCTTTTAGAAGTTCTACTGGGGTGTGAACTTACATCGAACATTTTTTTTCTTAGTTCGTTCCAAGGGTGCAAAAGTAAGTGGTCCGTGGATTAAGAGCACAGATTTTTAACTACAGATCCATACCATGAATGGATTACTTAAAACTTTTCCTGAACTGCATGCTAAGTTTATCATATAATTCGCATCCTAGTACTCAACACTGACTTAGGGATACATTTGCAATTCAGTCACCACTTCAGTTTGCTTTCACAAACAAACCTGGCTTGGCTGATGTGAAAGAACAAATTAATGTATGATAATGCGAGGTCTGATGAAGGTCAGGAGGGGGGAGGTGGGGGTGGGGGGATAACAAATCTATAGATACACATAGTTGAATCAGACACAGAAGACTGAGAGGAAAACAGACACAATGACATAGTCCCGGCATAGACACAAATTAACAACTCAAACATTTTACACTGACCTCCCCCCCCCCCCCCAAGAAGCATTTTTACACTTCAACCACGGCAAAAGCCAAAGATTTTCATGGAAATTTCAAGGGGTAATGAGAAGAAAGCGTTTTACATCTTACTAATATAGACCAGTACGTTAACGCCAGTGTTATAAAAGTGTGGTTTGGGCATAGATTCAACAAAATCATGAGTTTGTTGGACATTTTATCCAAATTTCAGGACATTTTAAGGACTGTGTGATATCCAGAACATTTTTAGCTTTTTATGATTTATACAAACCCTGGCAGTCAATTACAGAGAAATAACAGAAACAAGACATAGGAGGAATACAGCAGCCAAGACAGTAAAATATAGAGAGGAAAGACACAAGATAGAGTAACCATCACAAGAGATGGGCGTACGAACAGTGAAATACATATAGATATGGTAGTATAAAACAACAAGATTATCTTGAAAAAATTTGAACATTAGGTGGTTAGAGATAAGGTGCAAAAGATTACGATGTTGGAATCCCATATCAGCACAGAAGCTCCTGATGTAAAATCTGCTAAATATTTAGATGCAACAAAGACTGCAGTGACAACAAACAATTAAAGCTTTTTATATTCAGACTTTTGTAATCTACAGAAAAAAGGGAAATCAGGCAACTAAAAAAACACATTAAAATATTGAACACACAGACTCCGTGCAAAATACAAACAGTTTCGTTATCAAAGCACAAATTTGATTGATGATACGAGAAGCAATTCTTGAGATGAAAGCTTGCTTGACAAGAAAAGATTAGTGTTAACAATGGAGAAATAGAACTATATAATGACATTCCAATATGACAAAAGTGTGAAGCATTCAACATAAGTTAAGCACAAACAAGTTATTTTATTGCCCTTTTTAACTTTTTAAGTTAATGGGGCCCATGAAGTCATGCCTCTGACTTTTATTCACTAGTTCAATTTTTTTGTTTGGATGTTATTGTTGTGAGGTCAATTGAGGTATCTGCTGTAAAGTTTAGAATTCTCTATGAAATTAACCTAAACTTTGCTCACTATATAAGTTTGACTGTTAAGTTTGCTCTTTGACCAACTGTCATAGAAATAGTTGAAAAAGCAAACAAAAACAATTGAAGCTGACCCAGGCAAAAACCCTGGCAAACATTTTCAACAATAAACAGCTATGCCACGAAGCATGTACATGTTTCTGTGCTCACGAATATGGACATTTTATGGCAATCCGTTATGTTCATAAAGATACATGTAGCTATTAAAGTCATGAACTGTTTATTGCCAAAACATGGTTGAAAGTGATTGTGCTAAGGGTAAGTTTGCATACACCATGTCACAATTCTCTTTTGTGAGGTTCTGAAAGAAGCGGGGGAACTCAATGTGTCGGAGAGTATGCTCTGCCCACCATTAGGAGAGGAATTTCCAGACGACGGACGGGCAGAGCCAACCTTGTCCCCAGGGCTTACTTTATTTCCAACCTCGTTTCCAATAGTAAGCCCTGGATAGGAAACTTTCTTCCTATATCCTGATTCGATACCGCAATGAGCAAGAACTGGATTATATATTGTGTACTTGGTGTTGTTATTTCCAATGTGTGTAACGTGTTTTCACGTTCACTGTAATTATTACGTCCACACCTACTCAACAAGAATCCTTTCCTTTCCAATTTGTTTATTTTAATGTGAAATGTGATACTGTATACTGACTGGATAAGATTGTAACATTTTAACTTTCAAAAACATTGTGTTTTCGTAACTCACGCCATGCTCACGCCACAACAAATTGATTGTGTTTACCCTAGACACCACATACAAAAAAATGTGCGGATGTAAAGCACAGGACGGCACCAGACTATTCCTCATTTGCATACGTGTTCAAAAGTTTTGCAAATGCAAATGATCTAATACCAGGGTGAGAGAGCAGGTAGTGGTGGGTGGTACTGCTCGACACCCTGGGGATGAGGTTGGGGCAGGGCATACTGTCTGAAATGTTGACTTTCCCCTGGTTCATTTCAGAGCCTCACAAACTCACAAAAAGGATTTTGTTACATGGTGCAACTGTAACATAATCTTATTGCTCACTTCACCATGCAAACCTTCAAATCTTATAAACTGATTGTGAATTGGACACACAGTAGACGTGCATTTTACAGATTCATTCACAATCATTCCAGGTAAACCAACCATGTAAATCTTTTGTTTATTTGACCAAAAATAACTAAAAATTTAATGGCAAATGTAACTAGGTTCAAATTTCTTTGTGAGATTTGAATGAAGAAATAGATTTTTACATGCAAATAACAAAACTGTCAAAAAGGGATTAGGGATTAATACATTTGTAAATAGTACCGAAGGGTAGTCCTTGCAGTGATAATAATAAAAGACTCAATGCATGTGGTCCAGGGTTCGACATCCAACATTGTCAGGGAATTTGTCGTTTCTGAACATGCCTGAATTCAAATGACAACCATGTGAGAATTGTTCCAAGGCAGGAACCCTATTAGTCAACATTCCACATTCAATGTATGTTGCTATCAAGTGCTACAACAGTAACTTATTGTTCAGAAACTAGGAATCAAGAAAAGTGAATAATGCGAGCAATTCACAATGCCGTTTACCAACACGCTAATGGCCTCACAAATGCCACTTTTTAACTTTACTGTCAACATGCTGCATGTATCATTGGCCTTTGTTAAGTTGTAGAACCACACAAGCACAAACGTTTTTGGAAGAGTCATAAATAAACTTGTTCTTATTCACGCACAAAAATTCCTTATTTGTGCATGACATGCATTAGCAAATTTAAAATGGCCAGGTCTCTGGTGTTGACATTTCCCATAATTCATTGTGAACAAGGGCTCTCGTGATGACCTCCGAGTTGGGCACTGCATTGTGAACTGCTTGATTTATCAGTGCGAAAAAGTGAATTAGGAAAAGAGAACAGGGGACGATTTCACGAAACACTAAGACGCATCTTATGAAAAAGATATTATTGCCGTTGAAAACGCGTGTCGGCTGCGCTTAGAGTTAAAGTGTCGAGGAAGAAAACGGCTGTAGAAACAGATTTGAAAAGATTTCTGATACGTGCCGGGTTGTTTTAATAAAAATGGCTTATTTACAAACTGTAATTATACGCCAACACCTAATCGACTTTTTAAAATAGAGTGATGAAACGGGGAGCAAGAATGACTCTATTGTATCTTGTGTAGAAGTACCTTGCATGTGAATTTTTCTGGTTTAAGTTCGTGTCTTATGCACGCACGCGGGAAATCGGTTTTCCAGGTTTCTTTTCAAAAAAAACTATTTCATCCAAGCGGTAAAAACAAACATGAAACAGCCATCAAATTCGTATTTTTGATGTGTCTTGCTTAAGTTGCATTTAGTGAAATTGTTCCGGGGACGCGTCTTAGCTAAGATTGATCTTAGAGAGAGAACTCATCTCAAGTCCTAAGACGAGTCGTAAGACAAGACGAGTTTCCTGAAATCGGCCCCTGGGAATAAAAAAGGAGGAATATATGGAAATGTATGTACAGGGAATTGAAAAATAATAAGGTGCGTGGAAGATTAGCAAGGAAAAAGAAATGAGATGAAAGAAAAACGGGATGTGAGTAAGGAATGGGAAATGTGGGGAGTGAGAAAGAAGTAGTGGACAGCTGATGATGATGGTGTCAAAGGAAGGAAATCTTTTACCATTGTTAGATGATGGTTGGATGGAGCCACAAACCCAGGTATGGATCCAGGATGGAATAAACAAAGGAGCAATTGGCAAATGAAGGAATGGGGAAAGGAGACACAGACAGCAAATTTGGTATAAAAAAAACAGGATGATCATATAATTTTCTCCCCGATCCATTCTTATTGATATAAAAACCATGCATTAACTATTCAAACTCTGTGAAGAACGTTAAATTGTAAAGCACATTAGTACACAAACCAAAGTGCTATGCTGAATTACCAGAGCGCTTAATCCACATTGTTTTTCTTCAACACTTTGGAATCTGCCTGTGCTAGACACAATTCGGTATCTGAATTTATCTGCTGTATTCATGAGATGGTAATAATTACTGACGGAAACAATGTTGATTGCTTAAAATGTACCAAAAATAGTAGGATTACAGATTAACGTACAAGCTTCACCCCATGAATTTTTGACCAATCACAGCCGTGACTTATGTCCTATGTGCATGCACTAAAGTCTGACATGCAGGCACACGCGTATGATGCGCACGGCTGAAACATGAACACGCGCCTCAACTTCAAGAGTGCATATGCTTTTGAGTATGCTACCACCTACATGTATGTAATGGAACCTCAGTAGTTTGCCATTAGCCTATGGACCAATTTGGCAAACAAAATTAGAGGCCATTATTTAGGTAGGCATGCACTCTGGGCTCCTTCGACCAATAGGGTTACCAAAATGTGCGCACGCCTCGTCTTTAAGAATGCGTGTGGCGTGTAAGTGGACATGGTTCCACTTCAAAAAAGGCTTCCAACGTTCGTCCAATTAGTCTATTGTGTAATCCGGCAAAACAAAATAAGATGCCATTTTTGAGGTGGTGCCACGCTCACATGCAGTCCTTCAATATAACGAAGCGTGCACTCATTTTTGGTCACCCTAGGCCTGTTGGTGGAAGGATACCGGAGTGCGTGTAATACCTGAGCACAACTAGCGTGAGCCTAGTGCCACGGCAGAAAATTGCTGTCGTTGAATTAGTCTATAGCTGAACAATATTTGTGTACATTTACACGTTTTCGAAAATTTGACGCAAATGTAAACGCCCCCGTCAGACTTTGGTGAATGTGGCAACTTTGCTCTCTAGTAATTTAACATAGCTGTTAAGTTTTTAAAGTTACTCGGTAAGCCTTCCAATGCAGTTTGTGCATTGAATAACTTCTGCAGCTAGTTCCATGAGACCACTGAGCAACTTGTACTCTCCTTATTGGGCGTTGACAGTTTCAGATAGAAATTTCCAGATTGGGCCTTGAAACTGTGATCAATTTGGCATGACAGTTTTAAATTTAAAGGGAAAATGTTTGTACCTGGTAGACTGATTAAATGAAGTACCTGCTAAGAGGTCATCATGAACTAGCCACAGAAGGAGATTTTTCCAGTTAGTGCTATAATAAGAGTTTTAAACGAATTTCTGTTCTCTATCTCAAACTACAAAACAAATTAATAAAAAGCGTTACAATACTGATCAAATCTCAGTGTACAGAACGGCATGTCAGACACAATAATCTAATGCATTGACCACTGAATCTGACATTCTATTCTGTGTACTACTATGTACAGCAGCAAGGCCCCTTGCAAAAGGAAATTGCAGAACTACTGCCTGATTGGTGCAGATGGACAAGTATGACTGCCATATCACAATGTTTGAGACATTCTGCCGAGTCTGTAGAAGTTCATCAGAGAGACAGTGCAGACTCCAGGTAGGGTCTGTAGATTTAGGGGGGCCTATGAACAAGAATCAATGAAGGGCACGATGTGCACGCATACAGGTTTGTATAAATTTGGAATGGCGCGGCATACCGGTATGCGATTCCAATTTCCAACTGATTAATGTGAATAAAACTGAAGTGTCCTGCCATAATAACTGAAAAAGGAGTGTTAATATAATTGTGTATTTTTGCACTCCTCAGGGAATGGTCATGACAAAGTCTGTAGTCTACAGTTTGCAAAAATCAGTATTGCTAGCCTGAAGGCTACAGTGTGATGTTTCAAAAAGAGAGGTATTATTGGTAAGAATTTCGATCAGCAGATTTAAGATCGAGATTTCCATCAGAAAGTCCTCAAGACAAATTCTGCAGACTGCAGAGTCAACAGAATGGCAGCAAACACTGGATATTTGAAAAGGGGCCAAATAGAACAAGCGCACGACTGTCCACACTTACAAGAAGACAAAAACGACGAAGCTAAGCCAAACACAGGGTGCTCATCTGAAAACAAGCATAAACAATTTGTGGAAGAGAGAAGCAGACATTTATATCTATCAGCAGCAAAAATGATAAAGGGAAGGAAAAAAATATGTACACTGGGCTTGCAAAATCAAACAGCCTCAGAAATAATGAGGTTCGAGAGATCCACCAATTTCTTGTGAAATCCGATATTGGAAACTGTGGTTGTAATGGGAACTTTCTAATAAGTAATTTTAAAAGTGGAGTAGAAGAAAGAACTGAAAAGGGGGTGTGACAGCTAACATATTTGGGGGAGGAATATTTTCAATTTGCCACTTGTTACTGACCAATAATTTATTGATTTTCCAAGCCCTGAGTTTTCAGCACATTCATACAATGTCTACAGAGGAACGCCTTGCCATATATACACTAGGCTATGCTAGGCAGTGGACTGGTTTTTTTTCAGTGTTGTAGTCGAGGCCTTTTCCGAGTCCTTAACCAGTCCGCGCCGGGATTATTTTGACAAGAACGGAACGTGGCGCACGATTAATTGTCACTCGACCACAAGCCAGGAGGGTTGAAGCCATCACCCTCGGGCACCCATCACCCTTGCTCGCTGCGAGCAGGTCACCGACAGATATTTCTGGCCTTGTTCCCTGTGTGTTTATCAGTCATCCGTTCTGAATACCACAAAACCTTTGCGTGTATACACGGCCTCCGGTGCGAACTGATTAAATACACTGGAATGTAAGAAACTAAAGCTAAGCACCAAAAACTGTGTTGACTCAGTTCTTCCAACGTACTTGTACAGACTGTGTACTGGGAATATTTGCAAAGGGCCTCTGACTTAAGTCTGAGACCATGACCATTTGCTGTTTTCTTGGACATTTTCTACACAGCCTTTCAGTCAAAAAAATCAGTTTTCCTACTGAAACCACTCTGTCTAGCATCTTAGACTTCACTCCTAACATCCCATTTTTTATATTTCAGTTGGACTCGGTAAAGGACTTGACTACGACATTGGCATTTCTATCTCAAACCTTCGGCAATGAAGCCTTCAGTTCCAGATAACTGACACTCACTGACCTCCAGTTTGAGAACACATACGGACCACAAGATATGAAGCTCTGTAACGTAACTCGGGACATCCCGGATACTAGGTCTGAAAGGGTTTCTCACTATTCTGTCTACAAGGTTCAGCTTTATAAAATGTGACTCTAACACTGTCTGACTAATTCAATGGAAGAGTGCTGTCTCCGCGCTATTTGTGGCCATGCTTCTATTTGTCATTTATTCTGCTGGCCATTGTCTTCTTCTAACAGTCAGCGGTCAATCAGTTGCACCCCTGTGCTTTTTCTTTTGGCTTCCAATTTGCCACAATGTTGCAGTTAAGTTTTTGCCATTATTTTACATTCAAAATAACATTCAAAATACCCTGGTCTTTTTTAATGCATTCGGGTTAAAACTTTTGTTCTTTTACTGTCAAATTTCAATTTATCAAACATAGGATGAAAATTTAACAAATGACAAATTTATCTACAGATCTACTCACAGTTTTAAAAAGAAGTGTACTGTTAATTAAAAAACACAAACCTTGCACACATTGCAGTTATGTTCTACTTCTAATGTATTCCATCTGGCATGTGTGCATTTGTGTTTGGATTATTCCACAAGACAGTGCATGCTGTGGGCGCGTGCTATGCATTTCATGGCTTGTGCCTTACCGTTAAAACAGGCATTCAAAAAGCATTGGACGGGCAAATGACAATGCTTTTGTACGACCAATATTTCAGGCCAGTTCATATGTCATGGGAATGCTAAATGATTCCTGGTGAATTCACCTGATATAAAATGCTTTCTACTTTTTCAAATTCCCAAGTGAGATCTGGTCGTGATGTCATAAAATCACGTTTGCCGTCACTTTCATGCATAGCTAACTATAAACAATTTTTTTTCTCTACAAAAAAGACAACTACCATCTTTGAATCACACAAAGCTAAATGTTGACTAACTAACATATCTACAAAATATATCCATGAACAACACTACGCAGTACATAGCGGACATATCCAATTTGCAGATTTAGGATTTGTTTTCCCAATGCAAGGAATCAAAAGAAGAAAAAAACAAATCACGAGAACAGCGGGAGGCTATATGGGCGTTAATTGGCATGTTTCTACCTGCGGGGGCGCTGTTTTCATGAGACATGCCGATGATTGTTGGTTGACTCTCGGCACTGAATTTAACATGCGGTGTAGTATCAGCCGCCGGTTGGGCCTGGGAGCCAGTCTGTGTTCCTGATGAAGGATTGGGACAAAAACCCTCAACACGTATGTATACTCCTCAATGGAAAATAAATGCAACGCAGATGTTAGCAATGAAAGCGTCTTTCAGATATGGCAGACAAAAGAAAATTGATTATAAATGCTGGGATTTTTTTTAACACATCAGAAGTTCCTTGTCCCAAAAATTGATGCCTGTTGTAACCACACAATTCAGCTGCTGAAACAAAATATATCAGAAAACAATCGAGGTATTCACAAGGTTTAAAAATAGAACTCAAACCAAATCTCAATGAACTTGACACCCTTAAAATGCAAATCCATTGAATCATCAACCTTACCTTGCAAAGCCCTATCAAACCTTCCCCTATCAATGCAAAGCCAAAATATCTAACAAAATTAAAGAACAACAATTAAACGCAATTGAACCTATAAATCCAACCCTTCCAAGCCCATCATGCAACGCAAGAAATGCCAAAGCCTAACCCAACCCAATCAAACTAACTGGAATCTACAGTCAACTGCAATGCAACCTAACCCAGTCAATGAAATTCCCAACAAACCAAACAAAATCATACTAACTCAAACAAATGGCAAACCAAACCAAAGCAATTCAAACAAACTCTGCAAAAATTCGACCAAACAAAACTGTTCAATGTTTCTAATTGGCCAAATGCCAACCTACCCAACCAACAAAACCCAAATCCAATACAAAGACAAAAAACCAATGACTGATAAACATGGACAAACAAAGCTTTCAAAACCCTGCACATCAGTTCAGTGTTATACTTATTCTAATCTATGTTTCAGATTTTAAAAGGTATTTCATTTTTATATAAAACTTTTTGTGCTTTTTTAACCCCAAAAATTAAGCCAATTATTAATTATTTAATTACTTTGATAGTGAAAAAACGTGGTATTTCTATCAATTGTTTTGTGTAATTTGAAGAAAAAAACACATTATTTTGCGCTTTGAAAAAAAAATGAGTGAAAACCAAAATCAAAAAATAAAAGATGAGAAAATTTGACTGAGTGCTTGATGTTTTTCTTTCAGCCAGAGTACATAAAAACAGACTGTTAATGTATGCAAACATATACTGCCCGTCACACAAAAAAAAACACATGAATATTCATTTCGGATTAATTAGTGAAATTTACAGCCCATGTCATTGGATAAACAAAAGATTGTATGAGCTTTGTGATATCTTGAAAACGTAACATGCAAAGTTAAATCCACCCAAATATTATTTGTGAACCTCATACATATGGTTATTAAACTGAAATTGATTGTAATGTGTAGGGAAGCAGACTTGCTGCTATGTCATTCTTAGTTTGTAGTATTACCCAGCATCACAGTGTGCAGTAGAGAATATTAAACTGCTCCTTCTTCAATCTTCAATTTTTTACATATGTATGAGGCAATATACAATTATAACATAGTCGTGTTGCATTGACAGGCAATATCAGTCTCCCTAGGTTTCACAAGCTGAGAAATACAACTTCCTTCATTGACAACTTAAGTCTGACATGTAGGGAAACTGGTATTGCCCCTGTCGTTTTTTTTCTTCTAAAACCATGTCATAATTCATTAGTTCAAAAGAAAATTGTCACACACAGTTAAGAATGCAAGTCTGTTACAAAGCAAACTTTACAGTCATATGAAGATTTCCGTACCATTGTTTTCAATACAATAAAGACGGTTAATAATTACAGATGAAAAGTGGGGATTACAAAATACAGTTCAGATAAGCAAGTCAGCAATTTTGTCCGAGCTTTATTGGCTAAGAACCATGTCCGTTTGTCAACTGCAACTGCTTCATTATCACACTCTTTGTCCTGTCTCACACTTTACCGACGTTGTGTCAAAAACACAAGGAGGGAAAACTGAATGAAATGAAATGTCGGGTGATGTACCTTCCACCACTCAGAGGATGAGAATCCATGCAATCAGATGGAAATGGTTAAACCAAAAATCACCTCATCACCATGCTTTCATGACACCTTACCGAACAAGGAATCGGGTCGGCTTCGGTGACGATTGCGGAAGCTGTGGTTGTGCTGATCCCTTGGGGCTGGGGAGGAGGGGGCGGGATGGCGGCGCAACAATCCCCCACGACTCTGCTTACGACCTGGGGTCACTAGGGCAATGAAGAGGAGAACATCTTTCAAGGTGACTGGGAACTTTGGGGGGAAATCAAACTTATTCTGGATGGGGAGCAGATGGTCCAATAATCTATTGCAAGCTACATTACTCTTCAAAGTACAAGTTGGCAATTCCGTACAATCCAACATATGTCTGATACGTACACATTAGTACCCCCTCAACGGGAGACAAGGGAGAGTTGGGGGAGACCACTTGGAGTGGCATTTGAACGCATTGCTGATGATGCCTGACGCTCACGCGGAGATGCAAAGGGTTTGAGCGCATTCAAAAAAACTCTTGCATGCGTTGTCACATCCAAGGGGCTTTTGAATGTGGTAAAAAAAGCACCCTCTCTTGTTTGCACACAGAGCATACACCATAGAGGCCATGCTATTTACTGTTATCTAATTAATTCAACTATAGATAAATGAATTACAGCATCCATGTGAAATGTTAATAAGTAGCATGTTTTAACCTTGAGACTAAGTGCATAAACCTAACATGGTTCAATACACTGAGCAAAAATTATTTGAGCTTTTTAATGAGTTACGACACTCAAGTGCAGTGCTGTAGAACTTGTACTTGGTCCTCGTACTTGAGTACAACTCTTATACTTTTTGAAAATACTTGTACTCATACTTGAATATCCAAATACATGGACTTGAATTCGTACAGTACTCGAGAAGCAAAGTACTTGGACACGATAATTAGGACTCTTGAGATGTTTGAGCCACACCTTGAACCTGTGCTAGTCAACCATACATGTAGTTGGACTAGTCTGGTCCATTGGTCAGGACCAGCCTACAAAGGTTGGTCACATCACTGGTAACCAATATAACTGCAAGCATCAAAATGAACAACACAGAGCCTGTAGCAGCCAATTTCTTGAAACAGTGCTTCACTTATGCTATGCGTAGGACTTACGCAACAAAATGATTGCGCAACTGTGCAATAAACTCAAGATCGATTTCACAAAATGTGGTGCAGCTGCGCAACAGTTTAAATAATCAAAACGTCTTGGACAAGAATATCATTTTCGACACCTGTTTATGTAGGATTTTGTCACAAAACAGTCATTGAATCACCTCTGCCTGCCAATTTGAAAATAATTTTGCCCAACTTTCTTTGGCATTGTGCGGCAACTCTATAAACTCTGTCGAAAGCAAAATAGCAATTCATGCACATCAAACACAAAGCTATAAGTAGGTGTCTTGTATTAACCTTGATAAGTTGTGCAATAACAGGCTTCATGACGATCATGATTTGCTAATAAAATAGTTCATTTTCAACTTAAGCCATCTAAAATTAGTGCGCAAGTTATGCCATAATTCGTTGAGCACGTCGCCGACTTACGCACTGAGAAACCTTTGTGAAATGTTTCATAACTGAAATGTTGCGCAGCGTGAGAAATATTGCGCAACTTGCTGTAAATATTGGTGCAAGGGGACTTATGCACTGCGTAAAGTTTCGTGAAATCGGCTGAAGGACCAAGACGTTTTGTTATGACGCTTTAACCATACTTTGACTAGAGTCGATTACACATAGGCATAAGTTAAATCCTCGATTGAACTTGTTCCTACACAGGGTGTCTCAAAATAAAGGATACCAATTTTTATATGTTCATTATCAGAAATGCACTGAATATTTCAGAAAGAGGCAACGACATGGAAAAGGCCTGGATGTCCTCTATCCAATGATATTAAATTCATTACATCAAGGCCTCTATGAAAGGGGTCGAGTTTTTACCTAGGTGGCAAAGGGCAGACAGATGTTATTATTTGCTGTTACATTAGATCCGCCTAATGTAGGTATATCTGGATATAATCAATGTCTTTATGGTACACAGATGAAGCTGATCTTCCCAAGACAGCAACGTGGAGCTTTCAGGTGGGTTTGGAGGGCTTAGGCACTGCCACACAGACTTGTTGCTGTGGGGCATCATTTGGTAGAGCTTTTGGTGACAGAGCTTTTTATTTAATTATGTCATCAAGTTGAAAGGTCCCAAGATCTTCAGATCTCACCCTTGTGACTTTTTCTTGTGGGGTCACATGAAAGACAAGGTTTTCACCACGCCCCCATGCAGCTAAAATTTAGGAGTTAAGAGCCAGGATAAAGTAGATGAGATGAATCAGCTCCAAGACAAGGAATAAGACGTGGTGTCAGAGACATGAGACAATGATGTGAGCTGTGTATTACCAGAAATGGTGGTCATGTTGAGGCACAGGACCATAAATTTACCCTGTGACTACCACACAAACGAATGAAAAGATTTAAGTGATCAGAAAGATTGTTTCATTGACGTGGTGTCAGAGACATGAGGCAACAATGTGAGCTGTGCATTTAAGGAAACAGTCAGGTCATGTTCAGGGCACAGGACAATAATTTAACCTGTAACTACCACATTAAATTAAAAGATTTTTGTGATCAAAAAGATTGTCTCATTTCATTCCTTCAATGAAGCACCTAATCATTGTCCCTGTCACCACTTTTCCATCATGTACTATTGTAACTGTGCTGATTTTGACCTCTTTCATAAAGGCCATGTTTGCTCAGTTATCTATGACAATGATGTAACAAACTTAACATCATTGGATTATTCTAAAATATTCAGTGCATTTCTGAAAGTTAACACTTAAAAATGGGTTTCGTTTTTTTGAGACATCCTACAGATGAACACAAGGATGGATACTACTGCAATGTCTACCTTTTCTCTCCTCCACTTGTTGATCCACGTTGTTGAGTTCTGTGTTGCTACTATGCTGGGAGTCATCATCCCCTCCCAAGGCAAAGCTGATCTTTCTCTCGCTAGTCCCTGCTCCGTTAACGTTACCGATCAAGAGAGCATACCAGAGATTGGGGTAAAACAGGTTAACACTTATACTACTGCATCAAGCTGGATGCTATGGACTCCGTGCATTAGTACCCCCTCGATGGCGAAAGAGAAAGAGAAAGGGGACGATGGACACTTGGGAGACATTGCTGCTATGCGCCCAAATTCAGGTACAGTACATTACTCTGTGAAGACAATACTGGGCCCAATTTCATGGCTCTGCTTAATAACTGTTAGTGAAAAATCCCCACTAACTGTAGCAGAAAATTTGTCACCATTTTTATGAACTGTGTGCACACACCTTGTGAGAACCTTTTAACTGGTGAAATTAAGACAGTTTCAGTTCGTGGAAACAAAAATGTTTGGAGTACGCGCATTCAGTACCTAGGTTTCAGTTCGTGAAAACCAGAATTATGTGATACTGTACAGTACGCCGACGTGGCGCGCACCACAGAGTGTCAGTACCACTGAGTGTCAGTTCAAGGTGTTGGTGACGAATTCTGTGCTTACGATTAGCATATTTCATCGGTTCTAGTTTGTGGGCATGCATACATCTCATAGCTAAGCATTCTATGTTTACAGGGTTAGCACAGAATTCTTCTGCTACTGCTGTTAGCACAGGATTCATGATCATGAGGTTGTGGGTTCGAGCCCCGCCGTGGCCTTGCGTGTTGTGCCCTTGAGTTAGGCGCTTTACCTCAATTACTCCTCTCAACCCAGGTGTTAAATGTGTACTGGCATTATTCAATGCTGGGAAGGTAACAGACTCACTGTGGAGGAGGTGTGGCGATCTCCCCAAAGCAGCATATGAGTCTGGCCCAATCGTTAAAGAAAGAGAGATGGGCACTCCGTTCCTGTTAACACAGGTTCGGCCTATTTACCTTTTTTTTTTACCGCTGCTAGCACGGAATGGTGATCGCAAGCGCGGAATTCTTTGGTTAGCAGCGCCATGAAATTGGGCCCTGGTCTATGCCATTCAAATGAAAAATTGGCTAGGTGCAACTAGCACCATACGTGCATGAAGCAACATTCACATAATGCAGCGTTCCACGCGCACACATGGGAGCTCATTTTAAGCCAGACCTGTGAAGTGCCTCCTACTGATACTCTTCCTGCACGGAGTCCATAAAGCAGTGGTAATCTCAAACAGAATTTGAAGACAAAGGCTTTGGGAGAAAATGCTAATGCAGCCAAACAATTTGTGGTGTTAGCAGCATTGGGGTCTGCTTAAATACATAAGACCACATACTGTCACCATTTTCACAAGAAGACAGGCATGCCAAAAACTCTTTTCTTCAAGTTTTTAAATAAATATAACTTCATTGGGAGTTGTTTCAATTAAAAAAAAAACACATACACAGAGTTTTGAAATTAAAGGCAACTCATCTATATAATCATCCAATGAGAATTTGGTACCAAGTCAATAATTATATTCAATAGTTCATCACTGGGTTTTGCCCCTCACAAAAGTAATTTATTTAAGCATGTATGCTTAGTGCTGTGGGGGGAACTCATAGAAAAGAAAAAAAAAACAAGTTATTTCCTGATGAAAAAGCTAAACATTTCTTTCCAACAATCGAAAAGCACAATGAGCTTTTTTAGCCCGTCTGTGTTACATACTGTATATCACCAAGGGACAATCAGCTGTTAGTACAGCATCCTAAGCTACATGTACCTATGGCATTATATTAGAATTAAAAAAAAAAAACACAAAAGCACAATGACCAACTTTAAGGATCTTCAGCTATATAGGACCTTTTGCATCCTTGAGGAACAGGCAACTACTTTTTTTTGAAAACAAAAGGTGCAATTAATGAAATGAAAGCAGCTTGCGCAACTAATGTTATTTACACAAACAAAGCAAAACGGTGAGACACTAAAATACATCGAAAAAATACGTTGTCAATTCTTTTTGGCATGCTCATCCCTTCCAGAAAATGGTGACAAGACATGTGGCAGGGTTCGATTAAACAAACAAGTGGATTGAGTGTGGGTGGGCTGACAGGCTCAGTACAGACACACTCCAAATTATGACCACGGACTGGACTTAGTACAGCAACATTGAGTAACGTACACTCAACATTTTCAGAACCATACCTTGCTTTGCTCGCGATTGCTCGGAAACTCCTTCCCACAGAGGCCACGGTTTGTGGGGAATTCATCCGTGTAGTTCAATTGACAAAATGACACCTCGTATTTCAGCGAGGGGGGGAAAAAGCTCGGACAAAATATGCTGACTTGTTTGCTTCGAACTGACCAGAAACCGGCTTTCACAATAAACCCTAGTGAAGAAAGGTAGATTATCTGTGGTATTTTTGCTGGACAGGAGTAATACTGTGTGCATGTACTTACCTGATGGGCTGTCTACTACAGTAGTGGGTGCACTATGTCTGGGCGGAGGTGGGCTAGATGTCACACTAGACCCGGCGCTTGCCTGGCGTTGCACCGCCGTCATGTTTGGTGCAGAGGATGACGGCAACTCTAAAAATTCAGAGTCGCGAGTCGGGGCGCGACCGAAGCCACCCCGGTCCACTTTGCGTGGCTTCGGCAGGTTCTGGTAGGTTTCCCGCAGGAAAGACGTAATCTCTAGAAGCAGCTGGCAGGCCACCATTTTCAGGGCATGAGGGCAAGCTGTTCCACTGGGATTCACGGTGGCTGTGTGATTAATTGCAAAATTATACAGATTTACAACTTTTTCCATTTGCTCTCTGGCTTGTTACAGAGGGCAAAATGACAATGCTTATAGTGGAATCAGGCGACCAGAATTAGAAGCTTTAGTGCGATGGTGTCACGCTCATGTGCATGCTGCATGCATTCCTAAAGACGAGGCGCATGCGCATTTTTATATTCCCATTGGTCGAATGAGCACGGAGTGCGTGTGTACTACCTGAGTGCGACTCCCATGAGCCTGGTGCCAGCGCAGAAAATGACTGCCGCCGGATTTGTCTATTTGTGAATTAAGCAAAGGTAAATGTATATCTAGGATAGCTTCCCAAGTAACTGCAAATGAACAGGAGTTGACTTACATGTGCAGTCGAAGGAAAAGAATGACAAAGTACTTAAATGTATTGAATAAGTTTCCATCAGTACTCAATTGTATAAACTATATATAAAAAAACAATTAAAAGCTTCATCAGAATGTAAGGTGTTGACTGAAACAATAACAGATCAGGGGAATCAATCAACGTAACGATTTTATCAGCTCAACCACTTGATTTGTTTTTACTTATTGCTTCTTACTTATGGAGGATAGGGATAGGGTGACCATGTAAGGTTTGATATCTGTTCAGTTCCTATATATTCATTTATCAAATAGCATACCGTAATTTTCGGAATATAAGCCGCGGCTTATACGTTGAATTTGCCCATGAAAATGTTTACTGCGGCTTATACACAGGGCGGCTTATACGCCGAGCCTTGAAGAATAAAAATAAGATTCACATGTGTATTTAATGTACTGGTACAAGAAGAGATGTGTTGCTGAAATGAATTATAAATTAAGAAAGTCATTCACAAACCGAAACCACGTCTCACGTAAAGGTACCGAGCAGTAAAAAGTACGGTGATGAAAGCTGTCTTCGACACTTGCGACCAGCCGTACGTGATACTGGTTCAGTGCAGCAGCGATATGCAGCATGCTTTCCCCCAGCGGACCACACCATTTGTGGTAATAAAGGGGTGTTCTTTCTTGGGAACAATAATTACCAATATTTCCGCTGTTTAAAAAAAAAAAAAAAGACGACTAAAAGGTTAATGGCGTTCGAAACATTTTTTTTATTACATAATCAGTTGTTCAACGTCACAATATATTTTGTTTTCTTGAAATGTATTCAAGAAACGATGTAAAACTCAAAAGAGGGACTAAATCACCCCTTACAAAATTAATGGATTCGTCTATTAAAATGTCCGCTTCGTTTTGACTATTTCCGAAGAAAGTTACGATCGAAACTGGAATTTTTATCGCAACTCCTCGTTAGTAATCGCAACAATTTGATAAGTTTTGAGGTAAAAACGGACCTGTTTATTCTTAGGACAAAACAAATCAGCATCTGTTGCCACAAAGTAAGATTTGTAGCGCTCCAATCAGACAACACACGGTGGGTTTCATACTCTCTCACGTGCTGTGGGAAAATGTTGTCATTCACCGGCGTGCGTGGCGCAGGCTGCCGGGCTATGACGGGGCAGCCGGCAGCAGTTCCCGGTGTTTATTTCTCATCAATTCCCATATTTGTTTGTAAAAGTATCGATTGTAAATGATTTGATATAACTTTTGTGGCCCTTTTAATAGCTTCTGTAGTGTAAATGGAACTGGTTCAGAGCATTTTGACTAGAATTTGGAGGTCTTACAAAATTGAAACCGCTGCCGTCGGTGCGGCTTATACGCCGGTGCGGCTTCTACGCCGACTTCAAATCTTAATTTGCAGATTTGTGTGTGCTGCGGCTTATACGCCGCGCGGCTTATATTCCGAAAATTACGGTAATTGTTTGATCAATTTTAAACTAAGTTGTAACATTTACAATATACTGTGAAATAATTCCTTTACAAAAACCATTAGGCCAGTGTGAAAACAACCTATTTCCAAAAGAATTGGTGATTGTATACACTACAATTTCTGCAATATGTTTGGAGGTGCTGTAAAATCTCAGTATGAGGGCATTTTTGGACTATAACAGTTAACGTATTTCACTCGTTAACAACTTTTGGCTTGTGTGCGTATGTATGCTTGCAGGGTTGGTAAAGAATTGCTGTGGTATTTATTGCAGCAAGGTCAAGGGTCGATTCAATGGAGCTTCACAACTGATTTTTGCTTAATAATGATGAGAATAATATTGTGGTGCTTATAAATACAATGCTCTTCACCAATCTCTCAAAGCACTTCACAGTTACTACCCCTGTTCCTTAGTCCATGCGAAGCATTTTTTTCTAGAGCAGATCAAGATCAACACAATCTGGTCTTGACCCTCACAGGGACCGATTTATACCCCTGGCTGGAGAAAGGCAATTGAAGTAAAGTGTCTTGCCCAAGAACACAGGCAGCATGTTTCCCGTCAGGATTTGAAAGCCATGTACCACAGCACATAAGTCGAACACCACAACCATTTGACTACAGCGCTTAGCGATTTACAGTGCATTATTTCCTGCTTAGCAACTCTGTGAAATAGTGCCCATGTTCAACTAACAGTCCACAGTGTCATACCTTCATCCAGGAAATCTTCCTGGTCATCTTGCTGTCGCAGTCTACGTTTGACGCTCTCATCCTTGATTTTGCCGATGACTATGGTGAGGTCTTTAGCTTCCTGACGTTCAATCTCCTCAAGACGTGCACCAATGGCCTGCAAGGGAGGGAGTAGCGATTCTTTTGTACAAAACTGTGCATAACGCTTCTGCCATTACTGGGGATCACCATGAGCGAACAGCAATTCATTGCAAGGACTGCATGGTCAATACTTTTCAGTAAGAATGGGTTGCACGTTATTATTACTCTCAAGTTACCCAAGTGTATACTCTGCCAATTGTGCACTTACGGGTACACTTGTTTCAGCGTAAGTATTGTTGATGTCCTCTAACCCGGCACTGCCCTTAACGTGGTGCACTTTGACTTTTCGCATCTAGTCCCTTGAACTTCTAGAGCAAACAGTTTACCTCAAATTTCTCAGTCAGTAAATAACCATCAAGTTCTAACATTTCAGTTTGTAAACTTTTTAGTTTATCTACCCATTTAATAGGTAGTATGGGGACCGAAGACGATGTGGGGACAGCAAAAAGGCCCACAACGCAGTCCCAATTTGCCCAACAATAAAACAAATAAACTTCCCCATAATGGCCCGCTCATTACATTCATTGTGTGTGTGTCAGTTATTTTGGAAACATAGAAAATGACTCAGGGAGACCATCTGCCTTTGTTGCTGATGTTCGCCAACGTTGGTGGCCAACAGTCGGCCCTTACTTGAGCAAACGTTAGCATTGCTCGCATAAGCACCGCTGATATTCCTCCCAAAAATGCACGGATGAAGGCAAGGAAGCATACCTCGGCCCAGAGGTAGAACATCTTGGAGGCCATGCGTTGCATGGAGGCATTCTTCCTGTAACACGAGCCCATATTGCGGGTGCTCATGACGTTACTGGACACACGGCCTCGCTGGTAGCCGCGGCCACTCTTCATCCATTCCGGCCAATCGCCGTGGTTACAGCGGTAGACAAAATGACAGCACTCAAGGAGCAGGGCTGCCCTGGCTACCACAGGGGCATTCTGGGTAACAAGACAAGATTTCTCATTATCACTACAATGTCAGGGCTGATTCATACTCATTATGAACACAAATGCAAAGCAAAATGAACACGAATGCCAATTTGTGATATCACGTAATGTTGTCACGCCGCAAATGAGCAAAAGTTGAACACATCTCATCTCCAGCCAAATTCAGCTGAATAATGTGAAGTATAAACCGGCCTTTAGGCCAAAAAAAAAAAAGTCTCCGGTTTCTGGTATGCGCGCGCGTCGCCGTAGCCATGCCCGTCGGCAAAATAAAAAAGTTTTTTTTTTCAATGAAAGATGATGTCTCAAAACCGCCAAACTCACTGGTTTGACTGGAATCCTGCTGCTGCACAATTTAACGTGTTTTTAGATTGGGTTATGGTCGAGAATAAGCTTTATGTGGCCTCTCTGGACTCCCATATATTTGCACTAAGTTTAGTCGGGGACCATTTGCAGTCATCAGCCGACATTTGAAGCAAAAAACTCAGGTAAAAAAAAAAAAAGCCGCGTCACCGCACCACTTTTTGGGCAAGCTCCATACCAGAAACCGGAGACTTTTTTTTTTGGCCTTATGCTTTCTTCATTTATTCAAAAACTTGAACCCAAACCCATATTTCACTCACACACCGTTGGGAAAAGCTCAATGAATTAAACAACATATTTCCTGGGCTAATTACACCAGGAATGGATGATCTCTGCATCAAGTTCCATTCCTACCTCAATAATCACCCCCACCCCCCCCCCCCCCCTTCCACATCAATGCTCACCAGATGGAATGCAGCAGCTAGCAACTCAGTATCAGGTTTCATTCCCTCATCAACCCTAACCCTGTCCTCCACCAATTAATGCTTACCAGATACAGTACAGTTGGCAGAATCTCTCCATCAAGTTCCATTCCTACCTAAAACCCTTGCCCCACTTCCACATCAATGCTTACCAGATCCAATGCAGCTGCTAGGAACTCAGCATCTGGAACGGTTCCAGGATTGCAGCAATCCATCAGTAGATTCAGCCTCTTCATCCCTGCAGCAATGACGATCCTATCGACTGGTCTCTTCTCCTTCTCTGTAGTCATGTCCAATGAGTCTGAGGCCATTTCTTCTTCGTCCTCCATTGATCTTGGTGTCTCGCAGTCTGCAGATACAACAACGATAGCATTGCAATATTGTGAATCTGACCTACGAATGCAAGTTTGGGAAAATTTAACCGGAAGGGCTTCCAACTTCTGTTGCAATAAGTGTAATAGGAGTCATTCATAGTAGCACACACTCAAGCAAAGGCGCTATGGCTTTTGCACAAATTCAGAATCAGTACGCGCACACTGTATGTCCTGTCCACAGGGCTCTCAAACTTGGTAAAGAAGCACCCGATCTTGTTCACACACAGAGCCCATAACGTACAGGCAGGAGTGGTTCCACGGCATATTCCAAATTTGTCAATTCATGGATATATAATACTGCCCAGTACTGGCACTGTATACCAAGCAAAAACAGGCATTTCTGAAAAGAGTATTAGCCTTTTTTAATAGGACATCATTTTGATTGGGAAAACTCTTTCGTTTGTTCCCAAATTTATCCACTTCAAATAATGCGCTCTTATTGTGTCTACAATATCTCACAAAAGCTTATGCCACATATTCAAGGTTTCATCAAGTGCTCATGGGAATAAACTGTCAAGTGTTTAATAGCAAAACCTATACACTCAAGTGACATTTAGCATGTCCACAAACATAGTGATGTTTCAAAATAGTTGCACAAAGTTTTGTTCATTTTTAAATTGAATTAAAAGAAATGAACATAAAAACAAGAGTGTTTATAGTGAACGTGGCATATTCGTTAATGACAGTACATATCCAGCATCTATACAATGCCTGAATAAATCCCCGTCATCTAATTTGTGAGTTGTTGATCACATGCCATTTAATTATTCGTCCCAACCCATGGCCCAGCAACACACACAAAAAACTATAGACCGCGTTAGTCTCGCACTTAAAGGTCATGATAGAATTTCCGGGCACCTCCGAGCCGCCGGATATAGGACTTTTACACGTGGTTGACTTTGTTTTTTATAATACTTTGCTTTTACGTACATAAATTATATGCGACGACCGTTTTATACTGCATATGGTCTACGCTTTAGAACGACTGGCGCGTGAACCAGAACAATGGCGAATGACGTACGTACGACGTATATAGACTTTTTTACTCTCCTTTTCCCTAATTTGATATATTGCACACATTTTGTAAATTGAAATGAAGAATAATATTTTCTTTCAGTAAAAAGAACAGTGTCAAATCAAACTATTTCAAGAAAACTACTCGCTTCACACACTGAAGCTCCTATTCGAGCTGCCCGGAAGTTTCGTTTCTCGTAAACTCTTGTACGTTCTGGGGGGCGACTTACATGCTCTATTCCACGGTAAACAGAAGTTCCATTGCATGGTCACACGATTGATTGCCCTGACCAATCAGATGACGAGGATTTATTTAGGTGTTGCACAAAACAGATCATGAATCTTTTAAATTTGTGCAATGGAAAGAATAATTTCACGAGGTGAAACCGAGTGGAATGTTCGTGGAATGGAACATTTTATCTGTCACCTAATGAAATTATTCTTACCATTGCACTCATAAACATACATTTGTTGTATACTTTTGTTGACCAGCAAAACCTGTGGTAGGAATACTTCTTTCCATGTCCGACTTACCATCTCTCTCTTCCGTGGATGATGGGTCTCGCTTGCTCTTTTTCCGAAACTTGAGAAAGAAGGAATGGTCCTCCACTTTCTTGCGGCTGCCATACACACCGCCTGTGTCCTACAATTCAAATGTCATTCATCATGGTTTTTAATGATTTTCATACCAGGCTTCTGTGTAAGATTTTACATGTACTTTGTGAATTTTTCATTGAATACTGTCACAAACCTTTGAATGTACAAAATATGATAACCTAATATGGGATCATAGAATTTTCACTACTTGAGCATTGACATTATGCTCAGAAAACCAGGCACATGTCCTGTGAACAGTGTTCTGCATCAATTAAAAAGGAATGATATCCTCAGGGGTGTTCCTTCAAGAAAACAGAGGGGACTGCTTTTCAAAAGTTTTCTAATCCCTTTTGAGGGTACCTTTCAAAAAGCGCACCTACTTTCACCAACAAAACTTGCATCTCAGTGAACTTAACAGTACAGTAAATCTAAATAACACAGTAACTCTAAATCTGAACAGACAATCCACACACAGGGCAAGGGTGCAAGAACCAGAGATGCCACAGGGTCTGCTTGAAAAAACCGGACTGGGTCTGCTTGAAAAAAAAAACGGAACGGCTGCTTAAGAAAAAACGGAACTTTGTGTGTGTGTGAAAAAGCCACTCCGAGTCCGACACAAAGTCCCTGTTGTCATCTTTATCTTGAAGCCAAGCCCAGTTCGGTTTATTTTTTAATTTTGCTTCAATGGCCTTTAAGCTGTCGGTTCGTTCAATCACTTTGACTTTTTCCATATTCCTAATATTTATGCTGCCTGACACGAAACATGCATGATTCCACAACACTGCTGTCGGGGTACATGATCCTTGCACTACGCAATGCGCTCAACGAAAACATGGTTGGTACCCGGCATTTTTTGTACTAACATAATCACTGCGATCGAAAACCACCGATAACTGAAATGATAGACTTGATTTCCAGGCTGAATGCTACGTATGCTTAGCGCACAACATGCCCATACGGGGTGAAGCACGTGCGTCGCGCCGTTGTATATTGTGTGCAAGTACGTTGGCCGCCTGTATCGCATGCAGGCTCGGCAACAACAAAGACTGTTTTTAAGACTACTTCAACCAACAACGTTGTGCCGTGCGTGTGCCTAAATGTACTAAATCGAGAGCGCTAACGAGGTAAAAATCAACGCATTTTCACAGTTTTTCTTCTCTTTTTCCGGTTCATTTTGACGGCCGGAAAAAAACTGAATTTTGTGAGATTTAAAAAAAAAACGGAATTCCGGTTAAAACCGGAAAAGTGGCATCTCTGAAGAACCAAAATCCATGTGTCTTTTTTCAACCTTTACTTTTATAGAATTGCATATAAACCCGAAACTGGCAAAACCAATAGTGAAAACACCAATATGAGACCTTTCAAAATTAGCGCTGAGTAAAAAATCTCACTCTTCAGCACGAGCACTGAAAAGGATTAGCTCAACGATCAGCATCCTACCCAGAACAAGGGTTTGCACATTTACATGAAGATTCTGTCTAATATGCTTTATACATTTTTCGCAATTCTTCCTTGCACTCTGCCTACAGAAATGTCTTCCTTTTTGAGGACCCTACATGTACAATGTCAAAGGTAATATGTGGGTAATACCTTTCATATGTGCATTTTGTTTTGCAAAAGAAGGGAGAAAAATTGAAAGAAATGAAAGAGAAGCAGCATGTAATATTTACCATATGCACCTTCTTGGCCCTGGGTGTGGTCTCGGTGGGTTCTGGTAGCTCAGGACCATCCTCTGATCCCAGATTGGAACGGATCGCTCGATTGCGCCATGTCGTCACAGCTTGGGCTTGTAGTTACCAAAATAAAATTTACTACATTTCCTTCTTCTTAACATTTAAGTCATAATATGTAGCTTTTAACATATGAAGCCGACATTATTCTAGTCTAGGGGCTAGACGTTGTTATAGTTTGATACGCAATAACCCGCCGCCACGTGAGGGCGTTATCACTGACCAACCAATGTCACCCATGAACCTGTTAGGAACAACGTCTAGGGAAATTCGTAAAATCTCCCCCCCCCCCCAAAAAAAAGGAGGAAACTGGTGCACATGCACTACTGCTGCAGGCAATTACTGTCCATTTTCAGTCCCATGCACACTACATACAACAAAAGGGCTGACCAGTGAAGTTACACAAACGTCTTGCTACATCTTTTATATTACTGGAAGAAATTTAACAGTTTGGTTCGGAACTACAACGAACGTTTTGAATGCGCTGCATATATCAGGCCAAACAGGTGCACGCGCATTACACTGCCGATATGAATTTCCCTAGACGTTGTTCCTGACAAGTTCGTCAGTGATATTGGTTGGTTGTGATAATGCCCTCTCGCAGCAGCGGGGTTATCGCAGCGGGTTATCATGTATCAAAGCATAACGTCTAGCCCCTACACTAACATTATTCATGATATCCAGTCAATAACTGTATCCAGTCAAACACCGATGACATTAGTGCCTGATCCAGCATTGTACACTCCAAGATTTGCAAGTGCAAAACTTGAAGCATGTCTAGTTCACAACACAAATTTCAAACTAGTCTATTGTACTGAACCCAAATGACCAGGTTTTAGCCAACCAGAATAAAGAATCAGCAAAAGGTACACTGTAGGTTATATTCCTTTTGGATTTGCCTCATAAGGTGCATTTAAAAAGTATTAATATTTTCGTCACGTATTTGATTCTTCTTAAAATTTCTAGAGTTTAAAATTCTAACACACTAGGAATGATACAATGTATCACAAGCTTTTTTCAATTTTACTAGAATCAATAATTTCTGAAAATTCAGTCGAAGTTCAAAAACATAAATGTGTCTGAAATCTTGGCTTTTATCAGGACATATGTTTCCAAGTAGAACACTCTACCAAATCCTTATTTGACAGATGGTAATTTTTTTCCAAATCAACAAATTAAAATGTGATCATATCATATACATGTACTTAAATATTTTTGAAGCGATTCTTTTCCTTTGGTTGTCTGGATTCACAAAAGATTTCACAGCAAAAGACACAAATTTGTGACAACTTAAACAGTGACAACTAAAATTCTTGCTTTTGGATATGGCTGTATTCATTTTTGTTTTCAAACACTTCCCCCAAAATAGATAAGTTTTTCTCACCAAACTGGAAGACACTGAAGCGTCTCTTTCCACCAGCCCCTTCAGCTAGCCTCTCATCATCGAGTGCGCAGTCTGTGCTGCGGAATTTCTTCTTGAACAGATGTCTGCGCAGGCGTGTGCCTGGGCTCACGTCACCCCCTTCCCCACCGTCTTTGCCGGGAGGGTTGGGCAGGTTTTTATCCGAGTCTGACTTGGTCTCACTGAAACTGAAAGGAAGGGGAAAAAAGGAGTTTTTCAATTTAGTTTTGCCCTTCATAGACTTTATTTTATAATCAGTGCACACTTATGCTTCCCAGAGCTTGGGAGAATATAAGATTTGAAATTTCACGGTATGGTGGGACTCACATCTATGACCCCTTATTTACTAGTACATGTACATATGTCTGAAGCACTCAAGCACTTGTCTAAATCTGACACTCCACTAGGCTCTACAATATAAATGTTACTACCCATAAAATACACACAATTGAAGCACTAATGCTTGGGTTGTTTTTCAGGATTTTCAGCAAACTCGATCTCCATGATTGAATATTTTTAACCCAGTCCTGTAATTGGCGGTTTTTTTTCTGCTGTTGGATGTGGATAATAAATAAATGTGTGTACGGTACTGTAAATGTATGTTTTTCTACCATTTTACCCTGTCTGTCATGTGCAGACTCTAGAATCTGGGGAGGGGGGGGGGGGCAAAGAAATAATCTGGGGGCAACATAGAAACAGCATCGGCTAACAAAAAAATCAAAGAGGGGGGGATGGACTGGACACCATGTGACGTTTGGGGGCACTGTTCAACACCATTCATATATGTATCTATGTACACGTAATTGTGTTTTGGGGTCATTTCCGACTGTTTCCAGTCTTAAATATACATTCAATGTGAGGTAAATTATTAACTTAGAGTCTCTACTTTGCTTGTTTCCTTTTTTTTACCTTATTTTATATTTTTTTTTCTCTTTTGTTAGATTTTCTTGGGGAGAGGGCAAACTGGGTGGGCAATGCCGACAATTGTGGGGACATATTTGCCTCCCCCCCCATGCTCCCTGTAGTGGCGCCACTGGTGATGTGCATAATGTGTACTCAAAACACTAGTAATTGTACTACCAGCTCACGTTGCTTCGCTGTAGCCAATAAATGTGGCACATACTGCATGGACGAGGCACGGAGTGCGGTGTCACGTGAGGGGTTTTAAACACTTTTCATTTTGTTTAAAGGCAGTTTAAATATTACCACCCACGTGGCAGGGTCTTATAACCAATACAAATGGTTAAACTCTCCAAAGCATTTAGGAATGAAAGTTGAAGTATTCAGTGTTCATAATGCATATTGAGGACTCACCCAACTTTGCCCGTTTTGTCTTTATCTTTTTCATCCTGCCCCTTTCCTGAGGAGTCAATCAGTCCACTCAGAGCGACCCTCCTGAACACCCCACCGTGGGCCTCTCGGATGTAATGAAGAAGCTGGCGAGCGTCACTGTACAGCGACTGAAACAATATTTGCAATTCACTTCTGCTTAATATCATAATGCCTCTGCTTAAATGCATTAGTCTAAAGTGCTATTAACAAATGCATTTTTCAAATGACTCCTTATATACACACTATGCATAAAAAACTACCTTATGTGCCTCTTACGATAGAGTTTATCATTTGCAGCTATCCAAATGTAACTGACAAAATTATTGTTGAAAAGCCTTCTTGGTTAATACTGACACAAACTCCCTGTGTTTTTTTTTTCTTTCTGGCATTGAAAACAATCAAAGAAGGTCATTTCAAAGATGGGTCAAGTGACGCATCTTTGGAAATTTCCGTTGGCAGTTGGTATGTCATTCGGCGAATCCATGTATGGATGCGCGCAAGCATTGACACATTGCACACGCATGCTGGGTTGCTCTTATTTGTAAGTTTAGTGCATGACATCGCGCAGTTGCAATCAGCTGAATGAGAAGTGTCCAGGGCACTGATTTCAGGTGCAATTCAAAACAGGACACTGCAACTTGTGAATTGAAACCAAGTTCTTAGAATATTGTTTTCTCAGAATGTACAGCATTCAGAACTAAGACCTCATCAGGTTAGTTATTCAGTACCTGTCTTTATATTTTTAGCACTTTTGTTGCTTCAAACGAAAAAAAATGTACACATGGCGAAAAACATTATTGCATTTATACTAGATGGGAAAGTAATTGTATGATCTTTCACGCTTGCACGGCACCGCTGTGAAGTCAAACTGGATGATGCCTAGCGGCGATATCCAGTCAACTTTCTGAGATTCTGAGATTCTGAGATTCTGAGATTCTGAGATCTTTAAAGATATATCACAATCTCTACAGCTTCTTATAGCTTATTACAAAATAACAGTTTTGCATCTCATAGTCACAACTTTTTATGACAGCTTTTTTTTGCAACTCAATATTGGGTAGTGTCCTTCACTGACAAAATTTCATTGGCACTGGACATCAGAGCTTGCAATAAATGCACAAGCCACTTGGGATGGACTAGTAGGCAGGAGGTCATGGGTTCAAGTCCCATCCAAGTAGCTTCAGAACTTTCTCTTACAATGCTCTCAGACAGCACCGAGTACACAGTGCTTTAGGAATTACATTGCCGAAGGTAAAACCCAATACTGAACATGTTACCTGAATACTTACCGAGTTCTCTGGGGCGTTGAGCTCCTCCCTTGAATTGGCCAGTCTAGTGACCATAGCCTTGAAGATGCTACCCACTATGGTCCCCTCAATTCCCCGCACTCCGGTGCCTGCCACACCGCTGCCAAAGTTGGTCGCAAAGCCACCCCGTGCGATACCCTCATTGGGACCGGTGCTGGGCCCTGCGTTGTAGAAAGGAGAGCCTACGCGTGTACATGCACGAATGATGTACAGAGTAGAGGGGGGGGGGGTGTGGGGCGGGGTAGGGAGGGAGAAGGGGAACACAACAAACTGATTAACTATTTAGGGAAATACTACAGGTGGTACAATACTGGCATAAGGCGAATAAAAAAAAAATTTAAAAACATGTTTAGCGTCCTGCCTTTTTGGAAAAAAGGAAGCGGGAAGCCCTTTTTTTTTCCCCTCCAAAATTTTCAAATGGCCGCCATTGGACTCAAGAAATGACATAACAGCTTTTTATGGGATAGATGCAACAGATAAAGAAGCCAAAATTATTTTTCTTTTTTTTTTGGTTTAAAAAAAAAATTAAAAAAGTAGGCGACCTCCAAAAAGGAAGCGGGCGCGGATGCTAAACAAGTTTTTTTTATTTCGCCTAATAAGGTACATACTGGAATGAAAGTAAGATTGAACTAAGTGTCCACAGGTCCAGGTACATTTACAGTTCTGTGAAACCTACAACGACAATCGGAAGGAAATGCTGGTAAAGTAACAACGCCTCAGGATAGTCAGGGGGTATTTGTGGAAAATAAGTGGGAGACACATCTCAACAACATCTGAAAATAAACCCTGTTTTACAGAAAAGCTGGAGGCTATTGCCAAAAATTGTCTTCTCTTCCAATGTCAACAAAAACCAAAAGTTGAAAAACAGAAAACTGTAACTAGACTATTTAACAAAGGACAGTGTTAACTACTAAATAGAACACAAATCCCCCCCCCCTAAAAAAATATGTATTTTTTTTTAAATAGGCGTATCTAAAAATTTGAGTGGTTTATTGTCATGTTTTAAGAAAAAATGAAATCTAAATAAACTGATGCTTTGTGACTAAAAAACACACCATTTAATTGAATGGAAAAAAGTGTGCCAAATAATGTGTCCATTGCATAGCGAGTTATGGTGAATTTACAAGTAGGTGTAGATGACATGACTGTAGAAAAATCGGGAGCCTTGCTTAACTCGAACTCCGCATACCTCAAATGTTTATCTGTTCCTTTGATATTTGACTTAACGGGAGTTTACTGTAATATGCATTGATGAATCACAAAATTATAGCATGTATCCACTCAATAAAAAAAAGGCATAAAATTACTAGAAAAAAGGGACCCTTAATACAAAGACAAAGAATTGTTAATACTCAGCTGGTCACTGCCAATAGTAAGGGCATTGCACCAAGAGAAAAAGCGCTACATACCTGGTCTGTGTGGTATCCTGATGACTGGGTCTTCACAGAAGCCCAGCAAGGCATGCAGAAAGTCCAGAATGTTCTCTAAGGGATGGGTGCTGATCATGAAGCGAAGGTAGCGACGGAACTGGGACGGGTCAATCTTGAACATACGGTTCAGGCATTGCTGGCCCATCAACCGAAGCTTGTCACCTGGAGAAAAGGAAAGGAAAAGGCAAGTGTCCAGCTATTAATTGGTGTCTTTTTAATTTCCTGATCATGTGGAGTTAAGCTCAGGCGAAGAGGTTCTATCCTTGTCTTCAACCTATGTGCGCTGGAATTGATTCCCATCGGGTCTACATGTACATAGAGCAGTGGCGGTTCTAAAATGTGTCTAGTCCCCCCCTCCCAAAAAAAAAAGCCATAAAAAAAACTTGCACTAGCAAAATGTAAGAATGTGAAGCACATGCAAACGGTGTCCCCCAAAATAAATAGTCGTGAGAAGGGTGCATAATTTGTACACTTTTAGTTAATATTGTGTGCCTGATTGAAGGATTTTATCAGCGCTCCCCATTGAAAATACGTCACGAGCCCCCCCCCCCCCCCCCCCGCCCCCCAATTGATTTTTGGAGGCCTAAGTGTCCGGAGAAAATAACCAGTCTACATTTCAGCGCCTCCCTGAAAAAAATTCAGGATCCACCCTACTAGCCCCCCAAAAATATTGGCTCTAGAACCGCGCCTGACGTAGAGTTTTCAGAGCCGACATGATTCTGTTGGTGTGCCTAAGAATGATGATCGGGGGTTTCTTTACACCTCTAGATCTACATGTACCAGAACAACAATCATTTATCATATTTTCTACACAGATTTCTTCAGGTCTGTAAGCTACTAGTGTAAAAATTAACTTATTGCACCTACATGCATGCAAACATAAATCGAGAGGACATTAATTATAATGAGCCTGAATTTACCCAAATGTTATCTCAGTTCATAGCCCACTTAGGATTGACAGCAAAAAAAACCCACAATTTTCTTGGTCTTTAATTTAAGAAGTATTATAAGGTAAGTTGGACAGAAATCTTGCGACAAATTTCTCTCCATGTTAACATATATGTACTTGCGTAATATTCTGAGCATGTATCTTATACATAAAATCTGCCTAGAAAGTCTTAAATTCTTAGCAGAGCACAATCCTTAACAATTAATGGGGTGGGAATACGCAATTACTAGGGAAAAGAGGACAAACGACTTGATATTATTATCTTGCTTCATTTCCCAATCATGTCACATATTTGTACCTCTTTAGTGTGAATGACCCAAATGCTACTGAATATGGTACTTAAATCCAAACTGGTACATACACTGTAATACCCAGCCAAGCCTAGCAGGCCAAGTGTTGAAGTGGCAAGGCATCTACACTATTAAATAAGCAAGAGGATGTCGGTTTGATTATACCCACCTTTAAATTGTGAGCTAGTTGGATCCCCCCCCCCAAAAAAAAAAGCCACGAGTATTACAAAATTAAATCAGTAAGTGGCAAATGCCACTGTAAAAATCACCATCTCCCCGGTACAAAATTCCATCAAATGTCAACATAACATCAGGTCCAGCATGCAGACATTCCAAACCCTATGTCTGTTTAGTTTTCAAGCAGACAAGCTCTGCCTTGCACTCACAGCTGACGGACACCCTGACCTTACAAACAACATGTGCACATATTAATTATGCATATTACGGGATTATTTTTTAATTTGTATTAACAATCCCCCAGGCGAGGTGCATAATTCTTCACGGTACATTAAGTCAGCCAGTGCTTCCACTACAAAGGCCAATTAACGGTACTTGTAGTTAACACTTTGATTACAAAGTCAACCTTGTTGTTATTGATTCACTTATTGACCGGTACTGTACACGAAGGACGGCACAGCACAATGGCCGAGATTTTAAGTATTGTGTTCATATTGCCAGCCCCAGCTTCAATAGATTTTCAGTTCATAACTTGCAGTAGTAAATTGCGGTTCGTTAAGTCCTGTAATCTGAGCATTTCCGTCAGGTTAAAGGCATAGGATCATTGCAAACACACAAAAATGAAACTCAGACTGCCAAAATATTATCAAATGGAACACCTGATTTACAGGTAAATAATAGTGTGAAACATATCCTGTGAAATCATTGAGCCTAGTACGCTGTCATTGCCAAGAAAAGAGGAATTTTGTATTACAATGGTTAATTGTCACCGAGGACAACTAGTTTTCTCAAGTACTACATCTTAATAGATGGCCACGAGCCAGCTATTGACTTCTTGGGCGTATTCTAAACCCTGATCTGGGGTGACCTGCGAACGGTGTTCTCGGGTGGCCGATTACGAACGCCCAAGTGCATGTGGAGTGCAGCTGGGCAAAAATTCAAGATGGCAGCTGCCGTATTAAAAGGCCGATTGAAAAGAAGGGAAAAATAACTGAATTCAAAAATAATTGAAATCCTGAAACAGGTATAAAAATTGGACAAGACAAGGCCGACAAGCCCACTCTATGACCACGTGCATGTACAATTATATTTTTTATCATTACTGCTCCTGATGAGTGCTTTTAATTTTATATACAAAAATTAAGGCAAATTCCGGTTGGGGCCTAAATCTGCCATCTTTGTTCTTGATGTTCTTCATCTACTCCCTGATAAGTAGGGAGTGAAAATCCTGTTTGCGAACATCGTTCGCGTGTTGGTTCTGGTCATTCGAAAACCCGTTCTCGTGTTCATTTAACACGAGAACGGGGTTTTGGATACGCCCCTTGTGTACACTCGGGTACACTGGGTACATATGTATGTGTATACAAAATGGACTACATGACATGTATTATCAATAAAGTAAACAATTGTACAAGTGTACAAAGTAAAATAATGTACATTCATTAAGACGCTATGTAAAGGATAATGAGACAAACCCATTATCCTTTTCACATGACTCGGCCAAACATCATGACTTGAGACCATTAGCATCTAATATCAACATTTAGGGTCACACAGGACCCCTGAAAGGCATGCATGTGGAATTTGGAAGGAATGATCATTAAAGGAGTGATGTTGTACTGTATCTTTGTAGATGTTTTCTTTTCATGCCCTTTTAATTTAAGTGGTTTTGGTGAGGGAAATTTCAGAACCCTTTTAATTTCAAGGGAAGGTTTTACCAAGAAATTTTGAAAAAAAATCAAACATAAGGTTGAACAAAGAAATGTTGGGCTTCTGCCTACAGCAACCAATGGGAAACTGTCAAGATCGGGCTGGATAGCTCAGTCAGTATAGAGTGCCATCATGATCAGGTTACATTTCTTACCTTCTTAAAATCTCATCAGTTAGTGGTTTATTTCATTAAAGCTACAGTCCATCATTTGCAGCTATCCAAAAAGTAACTGATGTAATTATTGTTAAAAAGCATACTTGGTTGAAAGATAGTAATGGGACTAAACTCCCTGTGAAAATAATTTTTTCTGGCAAGCTGTCATTTTGAAGAAATCAATGAAAGAAGGCCTTTCCAACGATGCGTCGCGTAGCTGCAAACGGCTCAGTGAGAACGTGTCTCGGACGCTGAATTCAGGCCCAATTCAAAACATGACTCAACAACTTTCGATTTAAAATCGAGATCCTAGAACATTTTTTTCTTGGAAGATACAGCATTCACTGAGCTGAAACTGAAATCTTGTCGGGTAAGTTGTTCAGCACACTTCCTTAGATTTTGAACGTTTTTGTTGCTTCAAACAAACATAATGCACAAATTACAAATGATGGACGCTACCTTTAAAAAGGAAAACAAATTGAATGACCAAATTCTTTAAATTTAAACCAAACCCTCCAAAACAAATCAATATAAAGGATTCAGCACAGTGTGTAAATGTACCTCATTATGGGGCTTGATGCAATTGACTTGACTCTGAGATTGCAGTTTTTGAGGAGCCAGAAGGCTTTTTTAATCCAAACATATGCCCACGATTATTTAGAACGATTATTTAGAGGGGAAAAAACATACTGCCTGTATTTGTGTGCATCTTGCCACTGTACAATATTCAAGCCTGATCCCTGCCTTTGCCAAGTAAACACTGTCATCCAACTAGCGAGGCAATACTTGATTGTCCATTATAAATTTACTGAACTATACAATGCTGACTAAAAGACTTACTGCTAATTGTTTTACATACATGTAAATAAAAAGAAAGTTTTGAATTTTTGAAAAGCATCTTTTGAAAGGTGTGCTGTGCACAAACAACCCACATGGGAATGCTGCAAGATGCTAACAGGCCTATGTACAGTCCAAAGTCTTCTTCTCATGGGATGCCTTCATCACTAGGCTAGAGTATGAACCTACACACATACACTTGTAATACTCTGAAGTTGAACATAGAAATTGATTGGAGTAGGATTGGAACATGTGACCTCCTTCAGCTAATGCACGTCCTATGGAAGTAGCTGCCAAGGAAAGCACACAAAACAAGTAGACAATTTTGAAATTATTGTTTTTCTTTATAAAAAAAAGAAGTCAAAATACATACAAGTATATTTTGTGTTTTTTAAAGAAAAACACTATTAAAACACAAGATTTCAGAACCACTGAAATAACTTTGAGATTTATAACTTAAACTACGGGTAAATGTAATGTGAAGACATTTTTTTGATATGTTACTTTAGTTTCATGATAAAACCTAAAGAAATAGACCTTTGAGTTGATCTTCGACATTTTGAAAGACATTTTATGGCTAATTGTCTTTGAAATGGGAGTAACGATTTAAACCTAGCCCACTTTAATTTGTAGCAAAATTCAGAGTTTAAACTCTAGGTCAATTTTCAGCCAACCATCCAACTTTATCCAATAAAGTGACAGATTACTGTAGCATGATTTATACTGTAGGACGATTGCTTTTACCAGTCTGCGTAAATGTCACATTCTTCAGAAAGCATACCGGTAGGCCTACATGTATGAATGTACAGTGAATTAATTTGGATCGTCTCTGTAAAACCAACCATACTACAAAATGGGAAGAGGAATTTACATTAATTTCTTTTTTAGATAGCAAAAGAAGAATTAAAAGCCTTTTGAGCAGATTACAAAGAAAGGGATGACAAAACTGCAAAACCAGCTCTCCAAAGAAGTGAATTGCACATGAACATGTTCAATCCGTACTGAAAACTCCAGATTTTATTTTGTTGTCTAGAAATTTAAACCT